AATTGGACCCTGACATTTTACTCCAACAGAAAAAGTGTTCATTGAAGGCCAGATGCCAATATGTAAAAGGTGGAAAACTTCAACAATCCAATGCACAGTTAAAGGGCATCCCCAAAAATTAGGGTGCAGATTAACTGGCAGATTAAAATTGTTACAAGGCTGTTTGCACATAAATATAAGCATGATCCCATAAGTGGAAAGTTATGGTAAACCAAGCCATCCAAAACATTTTAGATGGTTTGGATGGAAATGATATATGGACGATATATAAACCTATCGTCCATGAACAGAGCCATACAACTACGGCCCACCTCCTGAAGCAGAGATCCAGCATGCCCAGGACTTTAGGTTTGGAGTGAATAAAATTAAATGTCATAATATATTCAGGTTGTTGTTTAGAACAGCAACAATGAAATTGGCTTAGAGAAATGTTACCCTTTAGGGAGATAGATCTTAGCCTACCTGTTAGCAGTACTTTGAATAGGCCACATTGCTGAAAGAGTTACAGCTATACTGTGTATCATTTTGTTTTGGAGCTCAGAAATAGTCCTAATTTGAACAGAAACTAAAGAGTTTTGGATTTCATTAATGAATTGTGAATCTGTTTTCTGACATTTAAAATGAATCTCCTGATATATAAATGTTTCTCACCCACTACATCATGTCTAAAGAATTTTATTTGGGCTGATTGGGACCTAACTCTGCAATAATATTACATGCAATGTTAGAGCTCAGATCATAGGAAGTTAACACTATTGACTTTAAGCTGAAGATGTTCTGAAATTAAAATTCTTTCCTTCTGCATTTCTAAGCTGTAGGACTGAATAGAGAATACCAGCTGGAGTGCATGTTGCTGTGTGTGTGAGGCTATTCCTCTAGAAGACTGGACTGCATTTAAGACTCCCGAGTCCTGGAGTCACCTTTCCCACGTGCTGTTCCTATAGGCGGAACCTGGGAAGGCTGATACGTACCGCACCCCTGGTTTCAAAAACACACTGTCCGTTAACACCGCAAGGTGGAACCAGCATGCCCAGGAAGCAGAAGAGTTCTCCGTTGATTCTCTACTGGTCTGGTCTGTGTTGAATCCTGGCAGCCTGCAAGTTCTTTGACCCACCTTAACTTCTCAGTGTAGAGTGAATTGCTCACCAGTAGATCTCCAACAGGTTGTTACAGAGACCAAGAAGGATGAGCAAAAGCAGCAATAGCAAGCTGTTGCCACCCAAGGAAGAAGAACCTGGACCAGAAACAGCAAGCTGCTGCCTTCCAGATTTCCAGACACCTGCTGGGATTCAAACCGTCAGCCCTGCAATGAAAGTAAAGAGCAATTCTAGTGCCATCATACACCGCAAGACCTCTAGAATGCTCTATATATGTAGTCCAAGATGAATACTTGACCACATTTAGCAAGAGAAGGAGACTTACCTAAACCTGCCAGCAGGGGAGTCTATTGTGACCAAGCTTGCGGCAGGCAACACTTCAGCGATGCACACCCCATTATGAGTCATGGTCCCAATTTCATTATAAGCCATTTAGTTTGAGATAAAAGCTCATTATGATCATAATTTATAGGGTTTGTTAGATAGTGCAGTAAAAACAGAGAAAATAGAAGCTAAAATATGAAGCACCACCAAACAATGCATTCTGGGAAATCCAGACAGACATTTTCAAGTAAATTTATGATGTTCAGAACGTTATTAAAACACATTTCTGGCACATAGCAGAAGCTCAGAGGTGACATTTGAATCTGAGCTGTGATCTATGTTTCAAAAACACAGTTTGAAGAGAAATTAAATAAAATAAAACATGATTAAGAGTAGATGCTTAAAACCAAAGTTCATCTTCAGAGCAGCGACTCCTTCATCCAACAAAGGCTCAGAGATGGCATTTTAAAAGTGTGATTTATTAACAAAACAAAGCTCAAAATAAATCAAATCTGGTGAAGTTAAAGTAAAAGGAAGTTAAAGTAAAAGGCCACTGTGGTTTGGGCCACATCACAGTTTGATAGGACGTTCCCAGCTATACTGACAGGTAGAAAAATGAATAGGAGTCTTTGGAGTAGGCTCGGACCACCAAACGTGGTAGGCACCCGCAGAGGGTTGGAGGGAGCAGACAAGCCAAGTTTTGTAAAAACGACTTATAATATTGGAGTTGTTCATTCTTGAAATAAATGGAGGTCAATGGCAGCTATGTCAAGGGAATGAGCAAAACTTGGAGGGTATGTGAGGGACTTTCTACATATTCTCCTTACCAAGATTGTCTCTCTACCCTCTTTTAGTTTATTTTATTTGCTGAAATGTGAAAGTGGCTTTCGTCCTATGTCCCCAACCCTCCACTAGATGGCAGTATAGGACTGTCATTTTAAATTGGGCTCTCCAAACAAGCCAAGTTTCAACCCAGATCAAAATCTAATCAAATGAAACAGACCAACAAATATTTAGAATAAAAAAAAACATTTATTTTATAATAAATTACAAATTTTATTATATTAGAACACTATGCATGACATTCAGTAAAAAAGATATCAGTGTCCAATCATGTTGAACAATATGCAAGGGGAGTACAATAAGGATCTATTTTTTAGACATTTCCCTTTAAATAATAAATTTAAAAGGAATGAGCTAAAACAATTTGTTTTCAGTCAAACTTTATATCAATCTGTAAAGATTTGAGTTTTTCTGTGTTTATTTCGGATTCTGTCAGTTGAGTTTTTGTGTTTCCTTGATTGATCCCGACTTTCCAGTTCCCTTCATTTCCTCCTGTGTATTTATACCCAACCTGTGTTTCTAGTTCTCTGTTCAGTCTAAACTCTCTCATTTTCTTGTGTCGCTATCAGCCGATTACTGTTCACCACTTGCTACCAGAAATGAGCTCATAGCTTTTTCTCCTCTGTGCTGCCTGGATTTTTATCCTCTTTTCATCGTTAATCCTTCATCACCACTGAACCACCTCTTTATCATCACCATCTTCGCCCCGCTTCCTGACACAAACTGTGTTTTTCTAAATTAGCAGGCCCTAATTTCCATTAGTGACATTGTTCTGATAGCACTGCTAGAGTAAGAACCAAAACCAGGTGAACATAAATATGAAATTATGTTCAGTGGTGTCAAAAACATTACAAAAGTCCAGAAAAAGGATAAAAATGTCATCAGAGCATAAATCTGAATAATCAATTAAATCAAATACAGTTTGATTGTGAGGATTTAAGTTCTGTTGTCTTGTGTAGTAGGGCCCCCCACCGAGGCGAGGCATTGAATCCCCCTGCCCTCTCCGGGAGAGAGGGGAGAGTTGGGTACCGGGGCCGCACCGCCGCTCCACGCCTGAGTCGGAGGTTCTAATATTTCAACATGCGCTACAGTTAAATATCATTAAAACTATCATAATTAATATTTCCAACACCTGACAAAACTATATACTGTTGAAATCTGCATGAGTTCCTCTTTCAAACTAGATGGGTTAGAACGAGCTTTGAAATGAGAACGGCAAAGACCCTGAATGAAAAATCAGACTTGGATCATATGGCCGCTGGACTTGTCCAGAGTGCATTACGGTTCCTTCTTTACTGCATATTACAGCTGCATGCTGCCATTTTGATCACAGAGAACGCATGAAGTCACAGCTAATGGTGGTGGTAAGTCTTCTCTGGGGTGAGATCAGAAATGGATCTTCTTTTGGAATCATTAAAAACCAAAATAGTAAAGAATAGAAGACTAAAGCTGGACTTAACTCAGTTTAAAACCAGATTCTGCTGTTCTTTTACAAATAAAGGTTTAATGAACTTTATATAAATTTAATTTCAATTCCTTATTCATCTTTTGAGAATAAAAGGTTGATCCTCAATAATTCTGTTTGAGACTTCACACATGATCCTGCACAAATAAACACACTGAAGTATGAATTTCACTCTGATTTTTATCCCAGACACAGCAACACCTTCCTGTGTGTGAAGGAAGCCAGAAGTGACAAAATGGCCAAAACTCCCCGAGACCCCAAGGTGCACTACTGATGATGTGTCCTTGAGCCCTATAGTGATAGTCATAGAGCTGACAAACCCTAAAGGTGTAGGACAATCTGTTGGTCTTTCTCTTCTTATTGCTAGGTCAGACCTGAAAGCACTTTTTTTAATGACAACCACAGCTACAACGTGGGGTTGTAGCTGTGGTCATGTTGAGGCCGGACCGGCTGAGGAGGACGATAATGCATCAGCATCAGGTCATCTTGTTACCACCTCCGGGGGCCTTGCCACGGAGAAGCTCTTTAATGAGATCGGAAACCTCATGTGCAGAAATTGGAGAACCTGAAGGGAGTTGGTTGGGTGAACAAAATCCTGCCTCATCAGTAGCTGTTAGCGATCAGTAGCACACTGCTGGCAGATTCTTAGTGCACTGTGGAGCAGAAAGCTAACGTCGCTGTTTCTCCCTACGTCCAGCCGGTGACAAAGGTTGCTACAACCGATAGCCACACAGGCACACCCCCTAACAAAGGCGCCCAGAAAAAACTATATTCTATTGGTTGAGAGGTTGCCAGGCAACTGTGCCAAAACGCACTTCTACATTTTGTAAACAAGCAGAGACCAAATGTGAGCGTGAGGAAAAGTTTTGAGTAAGCATTACAAGTTTTGAGAAATATGACATGAAGTTCTGCTTTAAAAATAGAAATGTAAGCAAAAGTATTAAAAGTTTTGAGAATAAAAGCCATGAAATCCTGTTTTCAGAACGAAAACAGGATTTCATTCAAGAGTGCTCTTGGATTACAGCAGGAAAATTCCACCAAGTGACCGGAGAGTTTTGCAGAGACTAAGTGTGAGTACAATCAAGTTTTGAGAATAAATATATGAAGTCCTCCTTTCAAAATAAAAATATAAGCAAAAGTATTACAAATTTTGACAACAAAAGATATAAAATCCTGCTTTCAGACTGACAATATGTGTTCTTGGATCATGGCAGAACATTTCCCCCATAAATAACCCGTAGGAAAATGTTTGCAAAAAACAGAAGCATGACTGGCAAAACATGAGTAGTTTATTGGATAAATAATAAAATTGTTAAAAATGACCACTAGCAAAAATAGACTTAATTTAGAACAGTAAGATATTGTAACTTTGCTGTCGCTGGGAAAAGGAATGAAACAAACCCAAAATAAACAATCTTCAGAAAAGTAGTTCATTACCAGGACTCCTATAGGGAAAGCTAAGGGCGAATAAAATATCACCAAACAAAATGAAACACCAAGGTGTTTCAATAGCAAATATCAAAAGAAGAAAAATCAGAATATCTGAACAACAGGAATCTTAAAATAGCTAATTAAACCCCACATACAACACATAGTAAAATACCTTTTTAGAGAACAATTTGTTTGCTCTAGACGTGTTCCCAGGTAAACATTGGTAGTCAAGTATTGACTCATCAAACAGTAGCAGGTCAACCTTTACACTGAAACACAGACCCTGGATATAAGGAGGATCTTCCTACAGATTGGTGAAGAGCTGTTAAGGGTTGCAGTTCAATTCAAATCAACATTTGTACACAGCCTCCTTCTCGACAATAGGCAACTAAAACAGGGTTACAGGGCAGCAGTCACCGCTCTTCACTGAGCCTTACCAATGTTTTCCATGAGGAAAGACAATTATCTGCAGGAGGCAAAGAGTTTGCCCCTTTCATGATTTCTCATTTCTTACATGTTTGTCAAACTTCAGTGTTTCAGAACAAACACATTTTAAATATTAGTCAGACAACATAAGTAAACACAAAGTGCAATTTTTAAATGAAGATGTTTTTCATTAAAGTTTTATGTAAAATCAATGACTCCTCCAATCAGCTCTTTCACACTAATAAGCAGCAATTAGCAAGTAACTGTTGAAACGGTGCATCTGCTGAGCTCATAAGAGTCAGTGTCAGATTTTAAAGAGTTAATAAAGGAATGCTGTTGAGACAGCTTCCTGAATCCAGAGTTTCAGAAAGAGCGCAAGTTTTTAAGGTGACAGACACCCAATTTCAAGGCATTTATTACAAAGTCAAATTTCTTTTAAGTCATTTTTGAGATAGCATTTTTAAGGTAACACAGTTATTTGATTGTGCTCTAAAGTGGTACTAGTGGTAGCCACATTGGAAGGTTTTCCAGCAGAAACTGCCTTTTGAAGTTCATGCCATGTTCTCCTATGGAGATTCCTGACCCGAATCTCCATAGCATTCGGGTTAGGACTGTGGGATTATGGACTGTCCATGTCAGCTGTGACTTTACAATAATGTCACATGAACATCTCTCCAACTGAACGCTCTACTAAATGACATTGGATCATTTCACCACACAACACCTCCGATAATCTCTTCTAGTTAAGATAACCCTTTCATTACAAGAATATTTTTGGAAGGCATTTTTGGTTTCATTCCTTAAGAAGTTCAATAATCCTAATCATTTCTACACTGTGCCTCACTCAGTATGTTGTCATATACACCTTAAATCTGAACAACTTTGATTGTTTTGAAGGTTTGTAGTTTTTTTTTTCAGAACATTTACAATGTCTTAAACGTGGATTTACATAATCCACATTTTTATTGGAAAGGTTCCAGCTCAGAGTGAAGGAAATGAAATTACCCAAATATGTAATATTTAATCCAATAGTGAAGAAGTGCCAAATACAAAGACACAGATAAACAGGTGTTAACTTTCATCACATGGAAAAAACACACTTTGTTTTTCATTCATCTAGAAATTCGGCATTAGAAGGTCTTGATCTCTGTCATTTTCTCAGAGCATAAAAACAAATTCTGCAATTCCAGATATTTTGGAACAAACTCTTATTTAAGAAAACTAGTTTTCTGAAGGGGTAAATACAATATTTGATGGACTTTTAAAACAACATAAAGAAATACAAAAACAGTCCCAGCCTGCTGTGATAAATTCTTCTTCTTGGCTACAGCAGGTTTCAGACTCCTTTGACTTTGAATTTATTTTTTTTTTTGTCTTGCAAGGTTTTAATGAATTTGTTAATTCTAATCCAGTCTTGTTAAAAAATTGTTTTTAATTAGAAGATTGAAAAAGAAGTAATAAATGTTCATACAGTAGTTAAGCTCGAGGAAACACAGCACAGGTTTGGATTCCTACACCATAAAGATGTAGTTAAAGGTGCACTAGATGTTGTGGATTTGATGAGAAAATACAATATTTATTGCAGAGCTTGGAGACATGAGACTGTACTAAAGGATCTAAGCTTTCTCTAGTACACTTCACTCTTATATACAGATTCTGTCCAGTATGTTGTCTTGGTGTACAACAACGTATTTATTCTTTTTATCCACTCCAAAGATGAAAATAGTATTTTAGGGACTCATATTTTTCTGAAAGTCTAAAATCAACTGCAGTTTTTTTCACATTTGTGATGTGTTGTTTTTGCACTTTGTACGAAGCAGTCCACCAGCTAGCTAGCTCTCTCTCTCTCTCTCTCTCTCTCTAGTTGCCCATTTCTGATACATCCAAAAACGGAATATTTCCACAGACAGCGTCTGAGGTGACATCACTGTCCTCTGTGGTTTCTTTGGGATTCAAATCGGGAGTTTGTGATGGGGGTTAGGGTTAGATAACCCATACAGCAAATACCACAGACTCCATCTGTGTTAATATTTCTCTAATCCTAACTGACCTAAAAAATCTAAAGCTTAGTCCATTTAAACTCCGACAAGAGTAACAAATGTGTCGTTTTAAACAATCTGTCTAAATATGCTACGCATGGCACTACTAAATGGCATTTCTAAGTAATACTGTTATGAATTATTTATTTTGATTTAAAAGTAGCATAATAATTCAATATATCACACTACAGTGAGGAAAAAAGTATTTAGTCAGGCACCAATTGTGCAAGTTCTCCCACCTAACAAGATGAGAGGCCTGTAATTGACATCATATAGACAGACAGACCTCCATTATACAGAGAACACTTCTAGAAAATCACATTGTTTGACTTTGTAAAGAATTTTTTAGAAAATTATGATGGAAAATAAGAATTTTGTCAATAACAAAAGTTCATCTCAATACTTTATTGTATATTTTTTGTTGGCAATGAAAGAAGTCAAACATTTTCTGTAAGTCTTCACAAAGTTGGCAGACACTGTTGCTGGTATGTTGGAACATTCCTCCATGCAGATCTCCTCTGGAGCCGGGATGTTCTGGGGCTGTCGCTGGGCAACATGAACTTTCACCTCCCTCCAAAGGTTTTCTATGGGCTTGAGGTCTGGAAACTGGCGGGAAGCATTTCAGGACCTTGAAATGCTTATTGTGAGCCACTCCTGGAAGTGTGCTTGGAATCACTGTCATGCTGAAAGAAACATCCACTTCCATCTTGCTGATGGAATTAGGTTTGCACTGAAAATCTCATGAAACATGCCCCCGCCCCCTCCCACCCATTCATTCTTCTTACAGAAGTTACAGGGCAGAAATCTTGCTTGTTTGTTTTTTGACCAAATACTTATTTTCCACCATAATTTGCAAATAAATTCTTCAAAAAAAATCAGAGAATGTGATTTTCTAGATGTTTTCTCATTTTGTCTCACATTGGTGAGATCTACCTGTGATGTCAATTACTGGCCTCTCTCATCTTTAAATTGGGAAAACTTGCACAATTGGTGGCTGACTAAATACTTTTCCACTCACTGTATCTGCTCATCTATCTTTTCATCTTTCAAAAGTGTTGCAGACTGATACACATTTCTGAAATTGTGATACATAATCGTACTTTTAAACCTTTAAAATACATTTTGGCTGTCAAATAGTTTCTCCTTTGCCTGTTCAAAAACAGTGCAGAAGTGATTGATGGAAAAAGGAAGTGTTTGACTAAAGATCTGACAACTTTAACTATCTACTACTTGATGAGGTAAAGTGACAGATGAACCATTAATAAATGAGCCCTGTTTGTCTCTTCCTTTAAGAAAATAAGTGAGCAGTTCTCCTTTTCCCTTTACGAAAATGGGTCCTCTTCTCACAAAGCGGAAGCCATACTCCTTCAAAATATTGTAGCAGTCCTCCACTACCTGGGGAAAAAAACATACTGTCAGACAGATCATGAATGACAAAAAAATGTATTGAAAACAAAATCATTTCATGGATATCCAACATCTTTGCTAAGTGATGCTGGACATCAGAGACATTTTAAACTACAAGATTGTAAACAACAATTTACAAACCTTATTACAAATATGGCTACGGTTATTTTGAGGACATTCCTCAAAACCCAAAAAGTAATTCACAACTGATTAGTTTAACTTTCATTTAAAGACAGACAATATGACCCAGGGCTGGCCCAAGGCATAAGCAAACAAAGCAGTTGCTTGGGGCCACCAGGGGCCTCTTAAGTGGAGTAGGGTTAAATGATTAAAACAAACATTATTTTTACATCAACTTTTAAGTTAATATAAAGCCATTGAAGACTCAGAATCAACCAAGTACCAGTCCACGTTCTGATATGACAAAGGCTCACTTGGTACAAATAAAAAAATTAGCTCTTCTAATTACACTTAAGAGAAATTCATTTGATAAGAGTTTGTTGTGAATATGTGTGTATTTAGTCCATCTTGATCAGAGGTGTGCCGATTGCAGTTCTCTGGCTGATCCCAGTTATCGATCTTTAGAAAGATCTTAAACCAATCTTGCCGATTCTGATTTTGGCCAAAAACATTTTTTTTTTTTGTCTGAAATGTTTGTAAATATAGCAAGTCACTGACTTGGCAATGATGGGATGAATATTGTTAACTGCAAATATGCAGAGATGACCTGCTTGGTCTGTGAGTTAGTAAAACTTCTCACTGTAGATCAGAAGAGGATAGAGGCTGATTTCCAAACCTTTGCTGACCAAGATAAAATCAGGGGGTAAGACGGGCTTCACATGTAACTATCTGCCGTTCACTGATCTCCCAAATTCAGGAAACCATCGCAGATAAATCGGCTGGATAAATGTATCCTATGTGATACATACAAATAGGATGTAGCTAAAACAGCACTGCCAGAGATGAAATAAGTTTCTAATTGTGTGAATGACCTAATTATCTGAAAGTTGATTACAGGAATCCACAATTTCAGGAAAACTCAAGGGCCCCGAAACCAAATTTCACTTCGGGCCCCGTGGAGGTTTGGGTCGGCTCTCAAATGACCCAGAAATATTGTTGTTTTTGAATGTAAATTTGATGAAATTAGAAATATAAATATGTCATCACTAGGGTCTAAAATATTTCAGGTCTTATTTTTCCCATAACTTGAATGTCAAATTCCTGTAAAAAATAACTTAGGATATAAAGTAATCTTAGTATAATTAATGTTTATGTTTTGGGATGGCAATTTCCACCTTTTTGCAAAAAGGATGACAAAGCCTTCTCTTGGAAACTTCATTTTATGATTTTTTTTCTTTTATCAGACTGTTTGTGGATTTGTGTGTTATATATTGCTTCAGATTGATTGATTGATTGATTGATTGATTTATTACACAGACTGAATAAAAAGAGCATTAAAAAATGGCAACTAACCCATCAGGAGGCAATCATACCAATGTCTCCAGAGTGCAGATGAATATTTTACGGCACTATATTTAAAACTTTTCTACTGACTGCTGCTGAACACGTCACCGTCAAGCTCCAAGCAGGAACGAACCATTTCATGCAAATTCAGGGAGGTTAGGGTAAATACGTGCTTTTTGGTCTCTAAGGGATAACATTTCATTTTTACTGGAAAAAGCAATTTTACAAAACACAACAAGATTAATTTTGTAATTTTCTTATTTCTATGAACAAAAAAATACAGAAGGTTAAGAGTCATAGTTTATGACCCAAAGACACAGAATCTTGGGAACTGGCTCAAGGCCACAGCTGCATAGAGATAGGAGAACTGCAATGTTTAAATTCGACTTGTGATTGACTGTATGCTGGCAGCTGGGTTTTCTGTTTGCCCCTCCTAGACAGCAGCTGTCAATCCTGTAAAATTAGGGACCGCCTTAAATGAAATAAAAGATACTGCAAAAGAACCGGCTTTAGAGTGTGGATTCAACGACTAGGACGGAGACGTCTATGGCCTCACTCTCCGCTCTTCTGAGAGTAAAAATCTAATCTCAATTGTCTTTGTCTTGAGAGAATGTTTAGGTGAACGAACCTGACAATGAAGTAATTACTTACCTCAGTCATCCACTTTGCACAAACATATTATGGGTATGATTTGTACCAAGTGCCTTTCCAACACTTAAGAAAGTTAGTAATGAGTTGTTTTTGAAGCGCTGGGAGTTGTACCTGGATGTTTCCCATCACTCCTGTGGACTCCATGCGACTGGCCACATTCACAGTGTTTCCCCAGATGTCATAGTGGGGTTTCCGGGCACCAATCACTCCAGCTAGCACTCCTCCTTTGTTCAGGCCTGTATGAGAGGGTGTTTGTGTTCAATGAAACATCATAGAATATGTCAGATTTAACACCAATTGATTTCTCAGGAGTGGTGTGAAAGTAAATTGAATGTTTAGCTGTATTAGAAACAAATTAATTGGTCATATTTGTCTTGCAATGAAAGGAAGGCTACACTTCCTTTAACTTTATACTGGATAAAAATGACGAATCTTCAATGTTGTCTGATGAAAAGATGTAATAACATATTTACAAAACTGTGAGGGGTATTCACAAAATTTTACTTTACCTACATTTTTTTACATTTTTATGAGCAGAATGAAGTTCCACTTGTGAATTTCACAAAGAAAAACAGAAAATATTGATCTGAGAATTTTCAATTAAAGGAGTACCCCGACAAATTGAACATTTATTTCCTTGGGCCTGAAAAAAACCTTTTTATTTCAGCAGAGGTCTGTTTCTGTTGTGTCACAGTGTTAGTCAGTGAATGGATCTGCTGACTGCTCCTGGTGCAGTGTGAATAATTATAAAACAATACAATTGGAACTACTTACTATGTATTTTGTTCAAATTTAATTGTGTTATTTATTCTTAGCATTCTTTTTTGCATTAGTTTCTGTCTGAGAGCTTATGTGTTCTGTATGATTAATGTTAAATGCTTTCCTACTACAATGTGTGGATTTGTTCTTTCAAACATTTTATTAGTATTTTAAATTGTTTTCACTTGCATTCCATGTTACTTCATTTTCTCTGCTCCTAACCAGTGAACCAGAATGTCTAACTGCTGATTTATATTGACTGCTTTTGTTTTATTGAATTTAATTTTTTGTTACATTTGATTTACTTGCTTCAACTTTTGATTCTGTCAAACTTTAACGTTCTGTTGTGTTAATCTCATTAAAAAAAGTAGAAAATTACATATGAAATCTTTTACTTTGACATTTCAAGTTTAAGGTGTGAAAACTTTGTGCTTTGAGAGCCATGGACTCATGTAGAAATTAATGTTATTCTGATTGTCAGGATTTGAGTTTTTCTCTGTTATTTAGAGTTTCTGTGTTTTCTGCGTTATCCATGTTGTCCTGTCTCCCCTTGATTGCTCCCAGGTGTGTCTTGTTCCCCGATTATCTCCTGTGTATTTAATGTGCGTCTGTGACTCTGCATGTCTGTCGGGTCCTTGTCATTTCTTAACGCCTATTCTGTCTAGCTGTCCATCATTTCTCCAGTTGCTACCATCGTTGAGCCCTGGCTTCCATTCAGTCGTGCTGCCTGGCTGCTGGACTGTTGTTGGATTATACTTTGGACTGTGTTTCTGATTTTTTCATCATTAAAATCTCTTCTCATTTCAACCTGGTTCTACCATGTTTGCCTCACCACTTCCACACCCGCACTTCATGACAGAGATCCCTATCTTGAAAAATGTTAAGGATTTACAGGACACACAAAACACAAGAGCCTATTAAATAATGCGTCCCACCAGTTCTTTGAGACCTTATACACACTAATGTTAAGTATTTATTTATTTTCAACATCCCCGTTCTGTGTTTATACTATATTTGTTATGTTTATAATAATTACTTTTACTTCTGCAAACCTTTAGCTTATACTCTACAACACATGTTCCAATGATGCCAAGGTAAAGGAAAAGGTCGTACCAATGCGTAGCATGAAGTTGTTGAATGACTGGTAGTTGATGTTCATTAGTGTCACCTTCATGGCCAGAGCAAAGTCTGCCAAGTCTGCCAGGTGCTGCCACCGCTCTCTGTCTGACTGCTCTTCCTTCTGTAAGATAGAAATACAATCCTGTAGCATAAAAATGATTAACATTTGCGAAAAGGAGATAACCATAAATTATGATTGTCTTGGCTCTCTGAGGGGATTTTTAATGTCCCTGTGAAGCCCAAGTCCTGGGTTCTCTGGATTTCTCCCCTCATGACACCGTGGATTGTTACCCACTGGTTGCTCAAGTGTCTCATAACAGTTTATGGTTAATCAGCAGATTAACCATAAACCGTTCATAGATTCTCAGCTAGCAGTTGTTTCTCCACACCTGAACTGTCCTCCACCGCAGCCTCTGCATCACCAACAAAGAACTCACTCTGTCAAGACCTCACACTGGAACCCGGATCACTTCAAGGACACTCACAAAGAGACCATACCTTGGAAACCACTGTATTACGCCCCTGGCAGAAGTTCCTCTTCATCTCAGGTAAGATCAGTTTAGTTCTTCCTGAAGTTTTATATATATAGTTTGCATATATATATAAAAAAATTCCCTTCTCACCCACCGCAGGTGGTTCTTATCCTCTGAGCTCGGGTCCTCTACCAGAGGCCTGGGAGCTTGAGGGTTCTGCAGTATCTTGGCTGTGCCAAGGACTGCACATTTCTGGACTGAGATGTCTGATGTTGTTCCTGGGATCTGGGATCTTAGCTGACTGGATAGCTCAATACATAAGGCATCAGTATATCACCCGAGAGGGCAGGGTTCGAATCCAGTCTGGGTCCTTAGGCAAGACCCTTCAAGCTACTGCCTACCTCATACCATGAGAGATACTAAGTTGCATAACATGCCGGCTCAGACGTCGCCCGGCCAAACAAGGTCTGCGTCAGGTGTTGGGGAACCAGAGCACCTTGATGACAAATGGGCTACTGGAACAAGACGGAAATGGGCGAGAGATGAAAATGTGGATCTGTTGGAATGCTACTACTCAAGTAACCCTAGTCAGAGGGGTTACATGCAAAGACTGGGGAAGGAATGGTTACTTCGACATCCCCAGTCAACACTAAGCGCTAAACAACTAGTAGCTCAGTGTTCCAACATCCGCAAACGGCAACTGCTATCACAACTTGAGATTGACGAGATACAACACAAATGCTACGGCAAAAGGGAGGAACCCGGATGTCAGAACTGTGGGGACTTAACTACAAGTCCCCACCCAATGAGCGAAACAGAGCTGAACGAGACAGCTGCTGACATGAGAGAGAGAATCATGACCCGAATGACAACCAGGCCTCCTCGGCGCCAATTACAACGGCTGAGTGAAGTACCATCAGAAAGTCTCATTGAGAATGTGAATGCAGCATTGAGAACGATCCCTACCAACACCATAACAGAAACCAATGAGCTGATCTACAACTCAGCATCAGTGATCCTTGAGATACTTGGCTATAAGAGCAACCATGAGACCCAATACCCACCATGGAAAAGACGGTTAGAGGCTAAAATCAAGGTAACAAGGAGGGAAGTGAGCCAACTGTCAGAGCTCCACAAGGGTACAATGAAAAGACCAGTACCCAGAAAGTACAGGCAGATGCCCATACCTGAAGCACTCGAGACTGCCAAACAGAGGCTCCAAGCCTTGGCCAGCCGCCTAAAGAGATACACAAGGGAGAATGAATCCAGAAGGATTAACCGGCTCTTCTCCACTCAACCAGCTAAGGTGTACTCTCAATGGCAGGGTAATAACAACAGAGCAGACCCACCAAGGCTGGAGACTGAACAATACTGGAAAGGCATATGGGAAAGGGAGGCATCCCACAACAGCAATGCACAGTGGCTGATCTCTCTACGAGAGGACCACAGCAACCTCCCTGAGCAAGCCCCGGTAACCATCACTGTGACAGATGTTCAAGAAAGAGTCTCAGGTATGAAAAACTGGACAGCACCAGGGCCTGACATGATCCATGCCTACTGGCTAAAGAAACTCACTGCTCTCCACGAGCGACTGGCAGCCCAAATGAACCAGCTGCTACAAAGTGGGACTCACCCTGAATGGTTAACTGAAGGGCGGACAATCCTAATCCAGAAGGATCCATCAAAGGGTCCAGTCCCACCCAACTACCGACCAATAACCTGCCTCTCCACAACCTGGAAGCTCATGTCAGGCATCATAGCGGCCAAGATAAGCAAACACATGGATAAACACATGAGCACGGCACAGAAGGGTATCGGTGTAAATACCAGAGGAGCCAAACACCAACTCCTCATAGACCGCACAGTTGCCCGAGACTGCAAAACCCGACACACCAACCTGTGCATGGCTTGGATCGATTACAAGAAAGCCTATGACTCAATGCCGCATACTTGGATCATTGAATGCCTAGAGATGTATAACATCAACAGGATTCTGAGAGCCTTCATTGCAAACTCGATGAGGCTGTGGAAAACCACCCTTGAAGCCAACTGCAAACCACTTGGACAAGTGTCCATCAAATGTGGCATATACCAAGGAGATGCTCTGTCCCCGCTACTGTTCTGCATATATATATATAAAACTTCAGGAAGACTAGACTGATTATATATATATATATATATATATATATATATATATATATATATATATATATATATATATATATATATGTATGAGAGGTGTTGCAAACACTGTGTTGCAAATTGTGATGCTGACTTCTAGGGACAGTGATTGGCTCCTCTTATCTGACTTCTCTCTAATGACATTTGGCAAACAACCAAATGAAGCATTACTGCTAAAAAACAAATTTAAGCTACAAGGCTTAGATGCTAACAAAGTCACCATGGCCACTCACCAGTGACCCAAACATTACTCAAGTGAAATTAGGTAATCTGCTTACCTTCATGTACTTGTAACCATCATTGACATCAGAGGTGACACCTGATGCTGCCATGTATGTGCTCCCAATGGTCTTGATCTTTGTGATGTAGCGAAATTTGGGCTCATCCAGTAGCTGACATTGATGCATATAAAGAAAGGTAAGAACTTTATTAATTCCACAGGCTAACAAGAACATTTTCAGGACCTGGGTTGTCTTGATTTGTTTTGGGATTTGAGTCTAGCTTTATTATTCTGTGTTCCTTAGTCGGTTTCTTTGATTAGATCACCTTTCTCTGTTTTACCTTTGTTCAGTCCTTTAGTTTTATTATGTTCCTTATATGAAGCCCAGTGTAAATTCAATCAGGAAGACTCTTTATCGCACCTGCTCAGCAAATCACCTTATCAGGCTCCTCCTACCCAGCCATCTCCTCCAATCATTAGGCTTCGCTTCCTTCATAAAGTAATGCGTCCTCTACACCTGCTCCTCAGTCGAGTGTCAAGCAAGCTGCTGCAGAACGTCCATACGCCCTTATGATCTGCCGGGTCTCACTGCTTTTTATGGAGATCACTATTTTTTTCTTTGTTCTTTTTTATCTGTGCTCAAAAGCTACACTCACGCTGTTGGCACGGCTCCACTTCAATCCCAATCTCCCACTGTTCCCTCTTCAGTCCATTTTTGCTGCTCTCCTTCCGAATGACAATGTGTGCTTCCAATCCACATTCTGATGTTAAATTATTGTGTTGTTGGGAATGTAGTTAATTAGCACTTTAAAGGCTGAAAAAATACATTTTTTATTACCGAATATTAGCTGGGCTGCACAGTGGCACACTTAGTAGCACTGTCCTGGGTTCAATTTCTGGCCTGGGGTCTTTCTGTGTGGAGTTTGCATGTTCTCCCTATGCGTGGTGAGTTCTCTCTGGGTACTACAGCTTCCTCCCAAAGACATGACTGTCAGGTTGATGTGAGTGTGTGTGCATTGTTGTTTGTCCTGTGTCTCTGTGTTGCCCTGCGGTGGGCTGGCGACCTGTCCAGGTCGGTGCCTTTCTTCTAGCTGGAGAAAGGCATCGTCACCCCTCCCTAACCCTCGAGAGATAAGTGTGTTAGAAAATGTGTGGATAGATGGATGGACATATAATTTATTTTTATTGATATGAAACTGTGATTACTTGATTAATATTGTTGTACAACATGGAAAAACTTGAGAGATTACTAAACATCCCTTTAAATTGGAGCTCTAAACTAATGGATATTAATGTACTGGATTTTAAGCGGCTTTATTCTGGACTTTTCCTGGTCAGTTTTTTTGTTGTAGTGAACTATTTGGCCTGCAATCTTGCAGAGAAAACAGCATCACTATTCCAGACCTGGATGGTAAGCCACAGCTCACAGGTCCAAAGAAACTGATAGATAGTGACCAGACTGGTCACTAAAAATGAAACTTTGAATGAACATTGGCAGATACATTGAGAAGGAATAAATGAAACATTGAACTAACATTTGACACATTGAAAAGACTATGAAGATTTGTTTTTTGTTTTGTTTTCAAAAGGGCTTGATTTTATTTGTTTGAAAACTTGGGAGCAAATATTTCAATGAGTTAGTTCTCTTCTCTCACAAACTGTGTGTGTTTTCCTCTGCTGTTGCTCAGACCTAGGTTCCCACAAGTTCAGACATTTTCTGATCAGGCCGAACATCCCCTACGATTCTGTAGTGCAGGTATTAGTCGTTGAAGTAACTTACCTTGTTTAATAACTATCAAGGATATTAGAAATGACCTTCCCTAGGGGTTATGCACAATACATAGCCCTTTAAATTGCCTTTTTAAAATTGTGGATAAATGTTCCTTACAAACTAATTATGCTACATCTTAGGGGCACAATACTTACACTATCAAAGTCTGAGATGATCTCGTTGAGGAACCGTAGACATTCAATGCCACCATTATTGATGCTCTCCTCTGTGTAAAAGTCAGAGAAGTTGGGAATTGAGGCAAACATGACACCAATCTCATCGTATGACTGGCTGTACAACTCCTGAAAAAAAGAAATGCAAAAATCAATTCGATATATATATAATTGGATATATTGTGAAATTTCAATCTGTTATTTCTTGAATATTTTAAGGTTTAATTGTAAAATCAATAGTTCCATTTTCTCTAACTTTTGCAAATGGCAATCCTCTTTATATTAGCCCTTTCTGGTGTTTAATATGAACTTTAAACTATAAAGGGCATGAGAAATAAAATGTATAATTATTATTATAAAAGCATGTTAATCTACACAAAAAAACTCTCATTACTTGTTATCCTGGTCCCTCTTGCAAATAAGATCTGGATCTCAATTATGTTTGACCTTGTTAAGCAAATGAAATAAAAACAAGTTGAATTACAATGTGAGTGATAATTTTTCTTATTGTGGATATTTTAGTTTTTTAGTTTAGAACAGTTTGAGTTGAAATTTTCTGTAGAATAAAGTTTGAGATTTGAATTATTTCTTAGAAAAAAATTATTTGAGTAAATGACTTAAATTTGTCATGTTAAACACACTAGGACTCAGTTTTTTCAAAAACTCAGTAATTTGAGTTGTACAAATGTAATTCATTGAGATGGATGATTGTTGTAATATATTCGGCTTCTTGTCTCATGCTTTACATCAGGGGTGTCAACATCCAGTCCTGGAGGGCCGGTGTCCTGCAACTTTTAGATGTGCCTCTGCTGCACCTGAATAGAATAATTAGGTCTTTAGCAAGACTCTGGAGAACTGATCTACACCAGGAGGAGGGAATTCAGCCATTTCATTCCTGTGTTTTGTACCTGTGGCACATGGAAAAACTGCATGACAGCGGCCCTCCAGGACTGGAGTTTGACACCCTTGCCTTACATGAAGGAGCAATCCTGTTGGGGAGCTGGGGTTTTGGGTTCTTTGCGTTTTTTCTTTGATTTCCTCTACTCATCCACCACATGGAGACAGGAGGCCGCATTGGCCGGAGGATGGTCTCTGTTGTTCATTCCACACACCTGATACCAAACTGCATCATCAGCCAGTGTATAAGAGAAGCCAGTCGCTAGTGAGCGCAAGCCATTCACAGTATTCTGTGCCCCTCAGTGTTTGCACTTCCTGCGTCTCTGTGAGTGTTTTACTAAACTCTCCTTTGTGATCTCCTAGCAGATTGTTCAGTGGAGCTCTTGGTCCTTCCCTTTCGACAGCAAGAAACTCCATAAAGAAACCTCAAGTTCATTATTCCAGGACTAGCGATAATCCTCTTCCTGTGCTGCTACCCGTCTGCCCTCCTACGAAAACAGCCACCTAGCAATCATCACCGCTCTGTCTCTCTGGATTCCCTAGAAACAGTTTCACCCCCACCTGGACCAAACACCTCCTCAAGAAACCAAGCCCCAGCACCAGCTTTACTTCCTCCCTGGAGGATTTAACTCTACTTCACAAGCAAGATCATCCTCTGATCTCTCATTCACCTTTTGTCAAGCTCAGATCACTTCTCATATACTCTGTCTTCAGTGGTCCAGATCCCCCCTGCTGTTCTGGTCCCAGGACAAAGAAAGCTCATGAATGTCTTTGTGTACAATAAACTTTATTTTACTGATTCGTCTGTCTCCTGAGTGTGTCCTGTATGTGGGTCAAATGATTAGCAACAAACATGATAAATCCAGACACCGATCTGGCGCTTCAGTTAGTTTTATTGGTAACCAAGACAACAGAACGTAATGTTGCAACCTTCCATGTGAGCATCTAAGTTATTGGGGTTATTACAATAAACCCAATAACTAGAACCAGCATCAACACAAAATAAATATCAGTATACTACATTTTTAATTTTGAACTCCTGCTACTTTTTAGTTCTTTTAATTAGAAAAGTATAACCCAAAGAGCAACCAGAATATAACTTTGCATAACAATGTTAAACATCTATTGCTTTGCTATATACTTTTAACTGCCTTGTTGCTGAAATGTAGTATATAAATATACCTGAAAAGGACCACAGTTTAGTATGTTTTGGAGTGACTCCTCTTTACAAAATGTCTTCTCATAAAGCCTTTATCTTTTCTGATCATCACTCTCAAATTTATTTCCCATTTTTTCGAAGTTTCTTTTGTCATAGAGGGTTACCCTAAAGTCTTCACTTAACCCAATTGAGCTGTAAATGGCTCCGAGCTCACTTGGGTGCCATGAGTCACTTAAGGAATTGTGATTAATTCACAACTAAAGAACAAGTCCAACATTTTAATGAAAAGGTAAAAAAGGTTTTACTATTTCGGTATATATGCTATATTGTAAAGCATATAAACAAATGTTTTATATGCTGTACAAGATTTAAAAAACAAAATTGTTTTCAACAAATTAGGTCAATCAATGTCAAATGTAACAAATTTGCTTAAAATAATTTTCTGCACATCAAGTTTTGCTTTACCTTTAGACCATTTAGAAGTTTTCACAAATGGAAATGATGACCTGGATTTAGAGAGGGTTAGGGTTAGAGCGGTAAAAACTAATTGTAACAACAAAGATCTTACCTCATCCCTTTTCTTGGAGCCCAGGAAGTGTCGAGCCACATGTTCAGGTAACATGTTTGTTACAAGAGCTTCATTCCAGCGCCTCATTTCATATACTTTCTCCTTCTGCTCATGGACTTCTATCTTCCATAAGAAAAGCGTGCGAGCAAGCTTCTCCACCTTCAACCAAGACAGTTTATATCAGGATTATTAACTAATAATATTATTATTATTAGCATCAGACATGCATAGCATTAAAGGCTCATAAGAGCTTGTTTTAACACACTTTATGCATTTCACATTTTAATTCATCCATTGACATATGCATTCATATCATGCTGATGGTGCTACTGGATTGTAGCCACATCTGCCCTGGGAAAGTCTGACAGAAACAAGGCCGCCATTCACCGGCACCACCAGGCCCTCTATCGTCGTGTCCTTCACCAAGACACTTGAGAGGCTGATGGAGCAGGAACTGAACTGTCAACACACCGATTGCTGGATGAACTCTTACTAACCTATTATGTTTACTTATCTTGGAGATATACACACTATATTCTCAAAATATTTGCTCACCCATTCAAATGATCAAAATCAGGTGCTCCAATCACTTCCATGGCAACAGGTGTATAAAATGAATCAACTAGTCATGCAAACAGCTTTTACAAACATTTGTGAAAGAACGGATCGTTCTCAGGAGCTCAGTGAATTTCAGAGTGGAACTGTGATAGCATGCCACCTGTGCAACAAATCCAGTCGTGAAGTTTCCTTGCTCCTAAATATTTCAGTCAATTGTCAGCTGCATGACAATTGGAAGTGTCAGGCATGTTCAATTGACACAATTGAACCTATGTCACTGAAATGTCAATAAATTATGTGGGTCTGTCACAATTTGTCCCAAAGTAAACACCTCATACGTAGAGGACAAAGTTGTCGAACGAGTCTACCATGCGATACAGTATGGCTACTGGTTTTCTATTTGCCTGCTATTAAATGTGATTTGGTGGAAAGTAATCAGAAAAATGATTAAAAGTCATCAGTGGAACATGAACAAGACACGTTTTACCCAGAGTATTTAGAGGATGGAACAGAATTTATTCCATTTTCAAAACTGAAGTCTGGAAAAATGTAAAAGTGGGACAAGTGCCTGGAGCAGACCTAACAGCTGAATACAGTGATTGACGGTATTAAACATGCCTGCATGAAGGTTTTGACATTATTACATCATCTGTTTAATGGTACAAATCGATGCATCGAGCTTGGTCCAAAAAATAAATAAATATGTGCTGTTTCTACAGTCTCTTTGTAAAGCAGTAACTTCTCAGGCATGTGGTACAAATATTCACACACAGCTTGACATAAGTGATCAAAACATAGTTCAGATACACACTGTTAAGTAATTGCTCACTTGCTTGTAGCAAGTGCAAAACATGCACAATACAACTACGCCAAAGGTGCATAAATATGACAAAAATAACGACTGGTCAAATATTTGGAAGATATAAAAATACATAATTAAATAGATGAAAAATATCCCCCAGCAATCCCAGTTTTGAGTATCAGGACAATAACTCCAGCGCACCATCACGTTACATCCGGATGCTCTGGGTCTATAGACAAAAGGCTCAGATTATATTTGCTGCATATTCCACAAACTGTGTCGGCAAAAACTTGTCAGCGGGACTGCTGACAATATTTTTGCAATAAAAACAAGATTAAAAAGCACCATGATTAAACATTAATGTATTTTTTTATCTAGCAAACAAAAACAAATTTCAACAGCCAACACAAGTGAAAACCATAAGTAGCCATCAATATTGAAAATAAAATAAGTAAAAAGAAACAATTTTTACAAAAAATCTGTTTCTCTGTGGTTTCTGAAAATTCATGAGCCTGATGTATGAGCCATTCAAAATATTTAACTTATTTTGCTTTCTTTACATGGCTGACTTTTGGACAAGCAAAGAGGAAAGAAAACTATTGGGGAAATTATTTTTCGACCTGACAACAAAAAAATAGTCTGCTCTGGGCAAAGTGTGGGTGAGCATCTGGTCCGGATCCATATACGGACATGGGCTTGATGTCATTTTTTATCCCAACGGATGGAAAGAAAAACATTGCCACAGTTCTATAAATACTGCATTTGAGCCAGATGTGGAGCAAATACACATCTGGCTAACATTAAACAAAAAGGACACAAAGAAAAATCAACTGTTAAAAAAAATAATAACATTTTGTCTTGTTTGTGTTTTCAGTATCTTGAGAATACTTTATTATTAATTCATTATTTCATTAAATAATGAGTCATTTCAATCTTAGGCAGATTTGGTCCAAACACGGACTGGATCAGAGCCAAAGCTTTTGTGAGGTGTCAGAACGGTTCATGATCCCAACCTGACCTGGACCTGGTGCATACAGAAACCCAGGTGACTGTTATGTGAGCTGGAGTCTTAATAGATTTGACCAGATCTTCATACTGTAGGTTTGTCTGTATATAAATACAGAGATGTCAGTCACAATTGTCAGAGTTGGATCCGTCTTACGTAAATGTCTGGTGAGACCAGCAGACGGGCACGGCCGTCACACGGGGGGCAAAATTGTTTTCATTTCTATTTTCTAAAAGAAGGGTTATATTTCTTTTAGTTAAAATGTAAACGCATTTCTAACAAAAGCCCTGGGTGGTAACATGTGGTTTGATTCTTGCACAACAGTGCCGCTTGCATGCATGTAAACTTACATGTCTGGAGAAGTAATAGAAGCTGACCATCATAATGAAGATCATAACTGTCATGGTGAACTTGGAGGGAGCCATCTCTGAGCTGGAAAAAGAAAAGTGTCATTCTAAAATATCAAGGTGAAAAACAATGTTAAAGGAAGAATTGGTATTCATATTTCCTATTTCCTGCAAAGCGGGGCTTTTGTATAATGCGCCTATTTTGGTTTGCTAACATAGAACTGGGGAACGTAAGATTTGTGTAACCCAGAAATTTTTCTTTCATCATGCACATCACGTGAAAGTCTGTGTTGAAGCTCCTACATGTGCAACAGCCGAGTTCACAGTGCCATAAAATGTTCATGCTTTCTTAAGGTCTGCACTCCTCAGGTTCAGAGAAGTTTCTTCTCTTTCCCAGTGATGGAAGAACAAAATAATGTAATTCAGTTTTGCAGCCTGTCTGGGAGCTCTGCAGGTTATTTCTGGTCAACTATCCACACAAAACGCATTTTTCTTATGTGGAGTCTGATAACTTTATGTACACATGAGACCTATGACTATTTCCTAAGAACTCGACACTTTGCAGACACTTTGTGCTTATTTCTACTACTTCAAATAAAAAATAGTTGACTACTCTTGCCATTGACTCTCACAGAACGTTTTCTGTTTTCAGAAAGTTTTACCTGTATTCTTGGAAGCGAACCATGTCGTAGTGGTCAAAGATGTCTTTCCAACTGTAGATGTTAACGATGCCAGTTGTTGCTGTTATAAGTAGCATCAGCGTAAGCTTGACCATGTGGCTGACCTGAACTAGCATGGTAGTGGCTATTAGTGCAAGCACTGCTATAAAGCTGTAATATTTAGGATTATTCAGGCATTCTCCAAAGCTGGACTGTGAAGATGAGGAAGAAAACGGAGCCGCTGTGGTGCTACCTGAATCTGGGACTCCAGGTGTACAACTGAGCTGAATATTAAAGAGACATAAAGGGAAATCAATTGTTATTTCTAAATATTTTCTCTTTCAGAAATGATCCATTCAGATTAGGATTTTATCATGGTTTTCTAATAAACGGCTGCAATAGATACACAGGAGTTTTCTCTGTAAACATGAATTTACAAAAATTACAAAACCCTCACAAAACTCTTGTTTCTGTAGAAATAAGTCAAAGCCACTTACCATATCTAAAAGATCTGCCATGATTAAGATGAAAATAGCTGCAATGGCCCACGTATTTCGAGCCCAACGGGTGTGGTCAATCCAGATTGAGAAAGACACCAACTTTTTGGGAAAGATCTTAAATGAAAGAATATATTTAGAAAAGTAAGCCAATCATTTGCAACTTATCTTTCTCTTACCACAACAAACGGTACTCAACCGGATTCTTTTATTAGCTTTACACAATCTAGCTTTAATGATTAGTTTTGCTTCCCAAAGCCTAGAGAGACAAGAAGTTGAGGAGCAAAATATTGCATTACAGATTTATTTTTTGTTTAGTTCTTTTTATTTAGATCTGAAAATTAGAGATTGTATTTAGTTTGTCGTCTTCACACACCCATTTACCTTACAGCCAAATGGTTATGCTGCAGATGTCCAGCAGCATTGGGCTGACCAAAGAGATTGGTCAGCTCAATCTCTTTCATGTTAGAAAGTCAACAGATTGTGACTCTTCCATGTAAGACTATGTGGAATCACCACAGCGTTTGTGATTTGTACTTTACACAAATCAAACAATTCTGCTTTTTTGGAATGAGACTATCTGCCACTTCTGTAATTCCTGTAAAAAAATAAATGAGAAATTTTGCAGACACTATTGTGAATTTTTTTCCTTCTGTAGATTAGCACTGTAGTTTTGGGACCAGAGTTTACAATCAGACAATTACCTTGGAGCTAAAACTGACAAGATGCCAAGGCAAGATCACTGCAAATGCTCTGGGTGAAGCATGTCGAGTTCATGTTCCCCACTGACAATGTTTAACCATTTTTTGGGATTACTTTTCATTAAATTTATGACTGGTGCGCATTCTTAATAATAAGCCTGATGAAAGCCCACATTTTATCAGAAGTTAATTTCCTCCAGGTAAAGGTCATGTGACCCGGGATAAATTGTGTCCACTGATTGGTCAGTTGCCGACAAACCCACTGCACTTTTTGACAGGTGGCATGACATCAATTTTTGATATTTTTTTTTGTTTTATATATATCTTTGAGTAGAATTTCTTTTAATATTTTAAAATTAGAATTTTAAAATACTTAAAATATTTTAGAAAATTTGTAGAGGTTTGTAAAAAATCCTTTAGCTAAAGTAAACTAAGGGTAGACTGACATTCACAATCAGTTACTAGTACCTCTTAACTCTTGTGGCACTGCAGGCATGTAAAATTACATTATTTAATGCAGTATCGACAGTACTAAAAAGCCTCAAGCACTATTTAAACTAAGTCTATATTTTCTGTTCCCATGCGATTGACTGGCTTACTTTGTGGAAGCATCTGTCAATATCTCCATATTGACCTGCCTGGTAAATGTCAGGAAATAACATTACATGACTGGACACAATCAAAAGTATTACATAAAACCCAAACACCCCAACAGTTACGTGGTATCCAAAGATACTCTTTTATAGATAGATAACAATAGTTTAATAAGTTATGTTAGTGTATGATGGTGTAGAAATAGCTTTGTAACTCACTCCTGGAAAGATGGCCGCAAGAGAGCAGATTGTCAGGATGAACAGCAAAATCTCTCCCACTACAAAGGTGATGTAGTTTATAATGAGCCTGTTCAAAAACAAACATACCAAGATAACATTTGGCACCAAGAGTAGCTTGTCAAAAACATTTATGAAACTTTTTCACAATTATTTTGTATCTGTGTTATGGGAAATGACTTTGGTATAAAACTGACCTGGGATCTATAAGTGCCTCCATTACTGTAGTAAAGAGAAGAACAACACAGGAGCAACAGAAGGCAGCACCACTCTGCTTCTCCTTCTCAATAGAATAACGAACCTCTAAGTCTGGATCCACAAACCTCAAAGAAAGCTTGTTGGTGTGTTTTCCCTTCAGCCTGTCAAGACATTAAAGTTGAACCGTTTTAATAAGAACCTTTACATTTTTGGGATTCTCCGATATTTTTGAACTATTCTAAAGAATTGCACATATGTTCTCTAATATGCTTCCATGCTTTTTTATTAGTGTCTATTGTCTCAATCCCAAAACTGAATCAGGTTTATGTCTTGCGTGTTAGTCAGGGAGTTGTCCATATATGTTTCATGAATTAGATCTGTTTTGGTGTAGAATGTTGAGATTACATTTGTTCTGAATTGGCACTAAGCAAAAATGACCTATTTTAAATTAAGCATAATTCAACTAAATGTAATTTGGCTGCATTCTGAGTAGGTTTATCTCAGAAAACATAATATGACTGGCATGCCTTTTTACAAACCAATCAATTACCTGGCAAGCATAAATGCCTATAAATGAATACCAAGAAATATTTGGACTGTGCCAGAATTATTTCTAAATCTAGATTTTTTTTCTTACGGGGCAAATAACTGACTAATTAACTTGTTTGTCATGGATTGCATTCACTGAAAAAAGAAAATATTTCAACCAACTTCATTGAATTGCTTCAGTTAGTAACAAGTAACTCAATTATGTTTATCCAACTTAATTCATGAAGTTAAATGAACAAATTTAATTCAGTCTTACTTAAATCATGTAGATTACTTCAAATAAAAAGTAAACTAATAAAAGACCTTTTGGCTCAGGCTGTCTTTATTTGAGAGTAGTTAGACAGGAAAGTGGGTAATGAAAGAGGGGGAAGACATGTGGCAAAGGTCACAGGCCGGGAATTGAACCTGTGACGGCCGCATTGAGGACTAAGGTCTCCTTGTGTGAGTTGTGCTCTGCCTCCACAGCTCAATGGTTGATACAGGATCTGTTCCTGGTCAAGCTTGTGTCATGATGTCAGAACGTGGCTTTGCATTTAACTGTTTCAAGTAAAGTGAAAGCAAAAAGTTCCTTTAAGTAAAAGAAAATGTAACTTTTAAGCTGATTCAACTCAAAAAAGTAAGTTGACATCACTAAACTGTAGCCCAAACACACTTTTTAGAGTGTATGCTTATATATAATGTTGACTTTTTTCAATCTTTTGTAATGTTCCCGAAGATTAATTGTGTTGTGCAGTGGCTTTATGTTGATATTAAAAATTAAAGTTCTCAATCATGGCTAAGTTGCTTAAGTTTTAACTGGTTGTTGTATTTAAAAGGTTCTTATCTTCCTTCTTTTAGCACCACATGAAGAGAGAAACATTGGACACTTTGTGTTGTATAAGATAAAAAGCACATTATGGTTTAGCTCATCTCTCAACTTCTCACCAGTCTTCCAAACACATACAGGACTCAAGTACAAATTAGGAATTACACTTTTACAAAGTGTAATAACTTATATTGTTTCAGAAAAACCACTATTGTCTCGGTACAACAGAGGAAGAATAAAGAAGATGCGCTTAATTTGCAGTCAAGAAATAATTTTGGGGAATCAGTTTTCTGACCGCAAGAAAATTGAAATATCACTGGTCATTTCCGATGTAAAGGGAAAAAATTGCCACTTACGCTTGAACTGTTTCTCTCTCCAACAGAGCCTCATTAAGCAACTTGTTGAGCTCTTGCTCATTCTCTTGGGCATCAATCACCCGTTCAGCCAGGTCCCGTAGTCGGAGCCTCCTCCGTGGATTTGGAAAAGATGGGTTCACTACCTGCAGTGCCAGAAAAATAAAAACAATATTGTGTGCTATTGTTATTATTGTTTCTTTGCTGGTCTATTTATTACATACGTATGCAATAATGCTCACTTGTGCATTTAGAAGCGAGAAGCCTATTAAAGGAACTCTAAAGTGATGAAAACTTCTGCATGAGACATTGTCAAAAATATTGTTACTTTTACTACAGTAACTATGACTAGACTACTCTGGAATAAAAGAGATTGAATAATTATCATGGCACTTTGTCAACATAATGACAATGAATGGAGGCCACAATCATATAGAAATTAATAAACTGCTTTATAAAGTAATTACTGTGACAAATGTTGCATCCAATAAAAATACAAAATAAGAACTTTCCAAACTTATTTCACTATGTAATGCATTTGACTGTAGAAATCAATGTTAAAAAAGGAAAAAAAAATATCTGGATAACTTGTGTATACAGAATATAGGAACATGTATTGATACATTTTACAATAATTTAGCATTTATACTTGGCAAAATTCATTTAATTTAGGTTCAAATTGTGTGTGGTGACATTAATAAAACCAGGGCTGTGGTATAATGATAATATTCAAGAAACATGGAAAATGTCAATAGTTTAATTAAAAAACATGCACTAAGCAGAAGTCATTACAATTTTTTGGTAGAAATGGTACAATTATAGATGATTCAAAAATAATTGAAAATCAGATTTATGTAAATATTGGACATGATTTATCAAATACTATAATGGTGTCTATTATAGGGATAAAGATAGTTCAGCTGGAGGTAACATTAACACAAACATCAACTCATGTTTTATCAGAGGAGTTAATGAAAAAGAAATATGATAAATCTTAAAAATAAAAAGTCTACCAATTTGGCTGGAATGGACATCTGTAATACGTCCTTTCAAAAAGAGGCACTCCAAGTAAAATGAAAACTGCAAAAGTCATAACCTTATTTGAAAGTGGTGATAAACATCAATTCTCATATTATAGACGTACTTCTCTTCTCTCTCAACTTTCCAAAATTTCAGAAAAAATGTTCCCGTAACATTTGCATAATTTCATGAAAAAATCTTTATTATTATCTGAATGTCAATATGGATTTAGATCCAAAAGATCAACTTCAACGGCTGTAATGCAGCCAATAGAAGATATAGAAAATGAAGTGATTAAATAGAATATACTGTGGGAGTGTTATATAGACTTAAAAACTATTTGACACTACAGACAATGAAATACTTTAACATAAATTAGAGAAATATGGAGTATGAGGCATTGTAGTCTTGGTTAAAGACTTCCCTGTGTCAAAGGTATCAATATGTACAAATAAGTATCATACATTCTGATTTACTAGAAGTTACCTGTGGAGTTGGTAGTGGGTCCTAAACTTTTTTTACTTTTCATTAATGATATATGAAATGAATCTAAGTCGTTAACATTTACTTTATTCGCAGATGATACCACATCTGGTAGTAGTTCATAGCAGGTTCTTACATACATAATCGGAAAAAAACTCACCAAATTTACCAAAATATACATTTTTTTAAATTTACCCTCGTGTCCAACTCTTCTGGTTCTTCAGGTGTGTTGCAGGCTGCCTCCACGCTGCCGTTACACTCTGTTGTGTTGATTAATAGTGGGGAATTTCCATTAGAAGAGGTTACTGACAGCTTCTGAGAAAGAAAGCAAAAAGTGGGTCTTCTGTGATAATGAGTGAAAACTTACCCACTAAATATATGAGTATATATAGTTCCAAAACCTCATTTCATGTCTTTTCAAAGAAAAATGTTTAAACATTTTCAAAATTACATCTCTCTTCCTTCCTGTCTTGTACATACTTTTTATGAGAACAGTGAAAATGTTTGGACATTAACATACTAGCTGTGAGTGTCTGGATGTTCAACTAACCACAGGACTGATTCCGTCTCTTCCCAGGGGATCTTTAGGAACCGTCACCAGGTAGGTCTCGATACCTCTCTCCCTCAGGTAGTCACAGCGATCGCCTCCATTTCCTGGCTCCACATCAAATTCTCCATGAAGACACTCCATGGTACTTTGTGAGATGTGAACACGTCTAATCCAATAGCACAAAAGAATAAAACATCAGACTTTTGCTTTTGTTACAGTTATTGTTTATGTTTGGTTTGTTTTACCAGCCCGAAAACCATTTTTGGAGAGAAAATTGCCCTTTTGGTGTCTGGTATGATAAAAAAAAACTGCCCATGTGTGTGTTTTACCCTTTTAACATTATGTTCTCTGTTCTCTTATGTTCTCAGAAAGCCATCCGACCCGGCTTTCTGTTAAGCTGTGACATGTTGAGGATGGTGTCACAGCTGTTGTGTCCTTCTACAGATGACATTGAGCTTTTCCTGTACGTGTTGCCTTTAAACCGTCTCAGAGCTCGTCTGTTAAGATGTGTTTCTCTCACAAAGGAGACATCACTCCTAAACGTGACACCACTAAAGGAGTTCTTACTGATGATACATTATGACTTCTCGATAACATAGAAAGGATTCCAGGATCAGTGCTTCTGTTTTTTTCTGCTCTGTCTTTTCCAATCCCCATTCAACAGCTCATACTGAGTCAGGTTCTGGTTCTGCTGGAGGTTTCTTCTTTGGAAAGTCAACAAGACATTGCACAGGACTGTCCACAGGATTGTTGAAGCATTCACTTCAAGAGGAGTGATCTTTTACTGTGGCCAGCCTAAGGGACACTTCTGCAATAATCATGCTGTCTACTCAGCATCTTGAGCTGGGATGGATTATCCTCTGCAAAGGAGAAGGTCTCCTTTGCAGAGATAGGAGAACTTCCTATCTATTTGTGACAAATCTGTCACAAATTTAAACAGGTTTGTGAACAATATAGAAAATGTTCCAAAGTAGTATCTTTGAGGTCATCCAATTAAAAAAAGGCAACAAAACAAAAATGTTGTTTATTTTTTTCTTCCCTGTAGATGTTTGTGAAATTTGTGCCATTTGCTACAAAATGCTCAGGAGTAAAATGTTACGGTCAGACGGCAGGGAAACAGGGGGTTGCCCTGTCAGATCGTCACGTTCCAAAACCACACACACAAACAAAAACCTCACAGAAGCCCACTTGGGATCAGAGCAACCCTGGCACAGAGTAAAAAGCTTGTGGGGTCTCAATTAGCATTAGGGTTAGAGTTAATGGTTAGTTTTATCAATGCATTCTACCACAACCAGCTCTTTGTGGACATTAATACTCTTAATATGACCTGAAATGAAAATACATTTGAACAGAACTTGCTCTTACCCTGGAATGCCTCCTGCTTCCATTTTGTTGGCTACTGTGACATCTGTAGACCAAACATCATACTGCCAGCGTTTCTGTCCCAGCACTCCTCCAAGTACTGTTCCGCTGTGCACTCCAACCCTCATATCAACATTGGTTTGGGTTTTTTCACGGACATACCTAGAGTAGTTTCACAAAAAAGTATGCTAAACACAAGGTCACCTTAAAAGAGAAAGTTCCTGAACAAAACAAAAGCTTTTTTTCTTATATCCAAAGCCTGAAAATAGCTAGAAAACATTTTGAACCAACAGTGGATGAAAGGTGATTATTTGTCAAAACACAGAGAGGACAATACACATTAGACAAAATGCAAGAATTAGCCATGAAGGCTGGTTTTCATCTGTAATCCTTCAGTGTAAAAATAATAAATATAAAAGCAGTACAGATAAGTTAAGAATTTTAAACAAATAATAATTAAAAAAAAAAATAATAATATATATATATATATATATATATATATATATATATATATATATATATATATATATATATATATACACTGCTAAAAAAATAAAGGAAACACTCAAACAACACAATATAACTCCAAGTAAATCAAACTTGTGTGAAATCAAACTGTCCACTTAGAAAGCAACACTGATTGACAATCAATATCACCTGCTGTTGTGCAAATGGAATAGACAACAGGTGGAAATTATTGTCATATTTATTTCATTCATTCAGATCTAGGATGTGTTATTGGAGTTGTTCCCTTTATTTTTTGGAGCAGTGTATATATATTCCACCAGTATTTTATTCCATAGAGATTTTGAAGGTGTATTGTAAAGACACATACACTTTCATAATCACCTTTATAAGTTAAATAGAGACCAAACTTCTCTCATTTTAGGACAATTAGAATTACCTAAATTATTTCTATTTGCTAAATAAATAAAATTGGTTTCCATGGAGCATGTACAGATGCAGTGGCAAATGGCTAGGATCCTCAACAGTTAAGATCTTTTCCGCATTGGATTACGGCATGAAGAGTGTATAATTGAGGACTTTATACAGATGCACAACAGCCAGCAGGTGTGGTAAGGGTTCCAGCATGTCACTAACACCACCAAAATTTCTGGGGATGCTTCACTGGCAGAGGACCTCATTCATTTCTGTGCCCAATTTGAGGCTGAATTAGTGACCATTAATGAACAAGAGGTCTGGAGAACCCTGAGGGAAGTGAAGCCTCAGAAAGCTGATGGACCTGATGGCACTATTAGAGGAAAATCTTTAATCTAGTTCTCTGGTGGGTTTTGATATGTTTTCGGTTTCTAACACCTCTTATCACTTAACAAAAATGATTTACACTACCTATCATCTATTACGGATCTATATTAAAAATATTAGGCAAATGGAGATGCCATCCTGTGTCACTGAATGCATGTTAGCCTGACAAAAGTGTTGCATCCTAATCAATTTCTTCAAAGATCTCTTTCAGCTTGGAAAGAGTCAATAACGTTCCATCAGAGTGATCAATATAACACTGAGGGCAAAGTCACCAACAAAGTCCATTATAGATGGACATTTGACTGACATGAAACAGCACCAGGTCATTCCTGTACAGAATTTGGCATGATTGTGAAACACCCTAATATGGATTATGGATATGGAAAGAAGAAAAAAAAAAGAACTATGTTTATCTCTATATATAAAGGAATAAAGGAATGTCACACCATTGACACCCTGCACTGTTCCTCTACCAGAAGGCATTGAAGCTGAAAGGAAAAGCATGTTATTATAATTTTTAGTCACTCAGATGTGAAGGTAAAACAACATAACACAGAACAAATATGAACAGGTTTGAATATATATATAAGACCAGAAAACTACTAACAATTCATGGAGGGTTCCATCCCAAATCCAGCACCCTGAGACTGTACACGAGCCGCAAGGAAGGAGGCAGAGGACTAGTGAGTGTGAGAACCACTGTCCAGGACGAAACACCTAAGATCCATAGATACATCAGGGACAAAGCCTCAACAGACAATGTGCTCAGTGAATGTCTCAGACAACAGGGAACGGAGGTTGAGGTGCCAGAGATACCATCATGGGAGGACAAGCCCCTACATGGGATGTACCACCAGCAAATAACCCAAGTGGCTGATATCAGTAAATCCTACCAATGGCTGGAAAGAGCTGGACTCAAGGACAGCACAGAGGCCCTCATCCTGGCCGCCCAGGAACAGGCCCTAAACACCAGAGCAATAGAGGCCCAGATCTACCAAACCAGACAAGACCCAAGGTGTAGGTTGTGCAAGGAGGCCCCTGAGACAGTCCAGCACATCACAGCAGGGTGCAAGATACTGGCAGGGAAAGCGTACATGGAACGATATAACCAAGTGGCAGGCATAGTGTACAGAAACATCTGTGCAGAATATGGACTGGAAACCCCGAGATCAAAGTGGGAAACACCCCCAAAGGTGGTGGAGAACGCCAGAGCTAAGATCCTGTGGGACTTCCAAATCCAGACAGATAAAATGGTAATGGCGAACCAACCAGACATTGTCGTAGTGGATAAAAATCAGAGGAAAGCCGTTGTGGTAGATGTAGCAATACCAAGTGATTGCAACATCAGGAAAAAGGAGAAACTGGAGAAATACCAGGGCCTCAGGGAGGAACTGGAGAGGGCCTGGAAGGTGAAGACCACAGTGGTGCCTGTGGTCATCGGGGCCCTCGGGGCAGTAACCCCCAAACTGGAGCAGTGGCTACAACAGATTCCAGGAACAACATCAGACATCTCAGTCCAGAAATGTGCAGCAGTCCTTGGCACAGCCAAGATACTGCAGGACCCTCAAGCTCCCAGGCCTCTGGTAGAGGACCCGAGCTCAGAGGATAAGAACCAGGGTTCTTATCCTCTGATGAGAAGGGAATTTTATATATATATGCCTGGTCACTATGCTTTCACAGAAAGCTCAGTAGGAAGACAAACCAGAGTTACATGATTTGGAGCCCAGAGGCATTATAGAATTACACTGAACAAAAACAACCATTTCTGGTGTTTAAATTAGAATCAATTCATTCGCTCCCAATCTAAGAATTTCCTAATTTTGCTAACCCTAACCAGTAAGTTTGGTATAATGTGAAAATGACATTTGTTATTACTAGATAATGAGATAATTTTACTTATAAAGGAATAATTATACTGTGTCACGTGACTAGCTATCAATGCTAGAGATCAACATCTTGACAACAAAACATAAAACAAGAAGTGCAAGAGACATATCAAAACATTTAAATTAATAAAATTTAATGCAAATTGTGTTGTAGAAAAATCATGCAGAATAAGCCAGAAAAAGTATTCCAAAAGATGGAAATTAGAATAAATCATTTTTGGCACTTACGAGATAGCATCCACCATAGCCAGGCCCATCCTGATGGAACAAGCAGCATGGTCTCCCCTGTATTCTGGAAGTCCACAGATACAGTAATAGCAGTCTCCCAGGATCTTGATCCTCAATTGATGATATTTCTGCCAGAAATGTACACTGAGCTTAATTAAACACAGAAAGAGAATACGTACACACATACCTCTATCTGTCTGTCTCAGTGTTTGGAGAAAGACTCAGATTAAAACATACACAGGCTTTTTGACATCTTTGGAGTTTTCTCTCTACTTTCACTATTGCTATAGCTGAAGTGACATAAAAGTCTCCTTGTTTTGTGGAAAGTGTTTTCTCTATTTTCTTTTAAATGAAGGGGATGTCTTTTTATCTTCCCCAAGATTTAAATGTCTGCTGATCTGCTTTAGACATGTCTTTTCTTCTGTAAAATAAAGTCTTTTAGTTGTTCTATTAGCTTGAGTTACATTTAAGCCCAAAACATTAACATACCTGGCTGGCTTAGAGTTAAAGAAGTCTTTTAATTATAATATTTGTTTCAACAAATTTGCGAATATCCACCATACAGACTAGGCTGGAATGAGATAGATAATCTCTGATTAAGGTGGTGGTGAGGAGGCCCCTGCCTTTCCAGCGGAGGCATTCAGAGGTCTCTTTGCTGGTTCCAACGCCTGCATGAACACCTAAGAGTTGCAGGAGACTGGTCCTCAAGGACCAGGATTGTCCACCCTTGGCATAGACAAATCACTGGTCTTAAATGAGCTGCCAAGTAAAAGATATGTAGATTGGGAAGAGCCAGTCCACCTTTCTCTTTCTTTAACTGCAGGGTTCTGTACCTCACTCTAACCTTTTTTCCCTGCCAAATATACTGGGATATTAATCTAACTCTATAAAACACCAGAGATCCTGACGTTCTCTCTCCTAGATTTGCTCTCCAGGTCCACCAGCTTATCCTCCAGACTCATGTGTAACTTTAGCATCTGTGCTACCACTTCCTCCATGTTTTGGGTTTGCTCTTCTCCAGCTGCTCCTCTACTAATCCTTGTGTTCGCTTTTCATTAATAAATAAATACATAAATAAATCTACATTGATTGAAACCATGCAACCCTATTGAAATTTTAGACTGTCTGTAAAGATTACTTTTGTGTGGAATGATTGGTTATGCCAAAACAAAATTTTTCAAAAGCTACAAAAGTGATTGCTTTCTTATTGAACTCAAAGATTTATATGTGTCCTAAAAATTGCTCATATAATTTGAGTTCACATACTGTTATTAAGCACTTCACATAAAATTACTTGAGAGAGTATATTTATTGGCCCTGTATTTCTGTTAGTTGTTTTTTTCAAAATTTTCTGACTTTTCTTAGCTTTTTTGTATAATAAGAACAGTTATTTCTTTGAGTGCCTATTTGTTTTTTAATTATGTATTTCATTTCCTCCATTTTGTAAAACAAAAATGTCTGCACCTTGTAACAAAGTGTCAACACCATGTAACCTACCAACCTACATCACTTTTGGCTTTCAAGCAGATGATAATTTTATCCAAATTTTGATTATTTCCTCATTTTCATTTTGCACATTTTTATATTGACTTTCTCTTCAATTTCATTGTTTTAAAAACAATTAACTTTTATATTCTGCAATTAGATCAGGGCATGCTATATATAAAGTGTGAGAGTGACTAAAAGTTGCCTTGCTACTATAATGAAGACTGAATATGGAAGAATTAAGACAAATTAATATAAACAATATTGCATAGTGACATTCATTTTGGTAAGCCAAGCTGTTAAAATAAAGTGCATCTGTTGGGGAAATTGTATATATTTATCAGACATTTGTTCAAATATTATTTATTCTGAATTGCTTTAACTGTGTTTCTGAGTGTTTTAAGAAGGCCTCACTGAAGGGAGCAGTCGAAATGAATGTTTTCAGAAAGATTGCGGCTGCAATCAGTGTCAGAAGATGAGCGCTCGACTAGAAGTTCCCGTGCCCTTGAAACAAAGATTGTGTGAACCTGTGTAACTTGTTTTTGTTTTTCCTTACATGGACATGTATTCCAGAAGATATGCTGTGTAATTCTGAATTATGTTGCAGTTGCGACTTATTTTCCTTTCTTTGAGCTGCAACATATATGTAACCAGGGAACGCCCGAAACAAACAAAAAGAGAGGGTACAGCAGGATGTTTTTCAGAGCAGTAGGAGATTGTAACTGAAACACATCTCTGTTATTATGCGTCCTCTGCCCCTGTAATTAGAAGTTTTGCAAACCAATCAAAGAGGAGTAGGAAATATTTGATTAATTTGTGATATTATTCTGTAAGCAGAAATATAGTATGGGGGAAAATAACCACAGCAAATAAAAAAAAATCAGGCTGGCTTTTTTTTTTTTTTTTTGAGGTGCACAAAAGTGTAGTACTTTATCTCACTGTAAAAAAATTATAGTCTTAAACCGTTTTCATAAATTAAACGAAATGAATCTCCAAGCTTGTATGAGAGCAGGAAACTCACAGCAGCCAGCTTGTCAAAGCGAGCAAAGAGCTCATTGAGCAGCTTCACCAGCTCCTGGGCACTGCAAGATGACGACAGCTGGGTGAAACCCACAATGTCTGCAAACAAAATACTACATGACAACAAGACACACAAGACAGCATGTTACTACAACATGCTGCTCCAGAACACAGATCTCTAAGTACTTTTACACTTTTTTAGAATTAAAAACACGAAAACACAATGTTTAATTCTAACTTTATAAATCAAATAATGTTTATAAGTGATCCATCTTACTCATTATCACAGATATAAACAGTAAAAAAAAATCCAGTGGCTTATGGAAATCCATAAGCCACTGGAGTGATGCGTTATTGAAACTAAGAAGTACTCAGACATATGGAGCTAAAACAGTCTCAATATTCACAATATTTTTTTACACATGCAAAGAATCGGATTTATGAATGCACAAAAACAACTCAAATGCACAGAATTATTCATATGTGCACAAACAATATTTACAAATACACAGAAAGATTCATGCTTAAATTTTTGATGAAAACACAAATACATCTTGATTTACACACTAATTCTGGTCTGTGGGCTTTGCTGCATTTGTGTGTGGATTTTGAGATTCTTCTAAGTGGCTCAATTCACAAATGTCTTTTTTTTTACAGGAATGGTCAGCAAAAAGTCAGATATAGAGCTTTTGGAATGGTTAATTTGATTGGCTAATACAAGTTTCCCAAAGTGGGAAACAAGTTCATGAATCATCCTGTGTGTGGATCGTTCCGCATATTTGTGACTTGTTCTGTGCATTTGTGAATATGGAGACTGTTTTAGAGCCATATTTTGGTATCTGTTGAGAGATATTTATAGACAATATCTCTCAACAAAAGAATGTCTCATACCTCTAAATAATTTTACTCATGAAATAGCAACTGAAACTAATTACTACTCTTGGTTTGTTTCATGAATGTGGAAATAACAGCAAGGTTTAGTAAGAAATTGCAATTTGTATACCATGTATACCTCTCCATGGGCTCCAGCCTTATCATGGTGGAGGGGTTTGAGGGCCCCAATGATCCTAGGAGCTATGCTGTCTATGGCTTAATGCCCCTGGTAGGGTCACCCAAGGCAGAGAGGTCCTAGGTGAGGAACCAGACAAAGCGCAGCCCGAAGACCCCTATGATGAAGAAAAACTTTGGATCTAGTGTTCCCTCGCCTGGACGCCGGTACCGGGGCCCCACTCTGGAGCCAGGCCTGGAGGTGGGGCAAGTTGGCGAGCGCCTGGTGGCCAGACTTTAACCCATGGAGCCCGGTCGGGCTCTGCCCGAAGAGGACACATGGGTCCCCCATCCAATGGGCTCACCACCTGTAGGAGGGGCCACAGGGTTAAGGTGCAATGTGAGAAGGGTGGCAGCTGAGGGAGAGGGCATTGGCAATCCGATCCACAGTTGCAGAAGCTGGCTCTTGGGACATAGAATGTCACCTTTCTGTTGGGAAAGAGCCGGAGCTGGTGTGTGAGGTTGAGAGGTTCTGCCTAGAAATAGTCGGTCTCACCTCGATGCCTGGCTCTGGTTCTGGAACCAGCCTTCTTGAGAGGGGCTGGACGTACTTTCACTCTGGAGTTGCCCGCGGTGAGAAGCGTCGGGCAGGAGTAGGCATACTTGTTGTCCCCCATCTTAGCCTGTATGTTGGGGTTTACCCCGGTGAACGAGAGGGTAGCCTCCCTCCGCCTCGGGTGGGGGGCCGGGTTCTGACCGTTGCTTGTGCTTACGGGCCGAACAACGGTTCAGATTACCCACCCTTCTTGGAGTCCTTACTGGAGAGTGCCCCACCTGGGGACTCCCTCATTCTGCTGGGGGACTTCAACACTCACGTGGGCAATGACAGTGAAACCTGGAGCGGTGTGGTTGGGAGGAACGGCCCCCCCAATCTGAACGCGAGTGGTGTTCAGTTCTTGGACTTCTGTGCTCATCACGGATTATCCATAACGAACACCATGTTCAGGCATAAGGGTGTCCATATGTGGACTTGGCACCAGGACACCCTAGGCCGCAGTTCGATGATTGACTTTGTCATCATTTCATCGGCTCTGAGGCCGTATGTCTTGGACACTCGGATGAAGAGAGGTGTGGAGCTGTCCACTGACCACTACCTGGTGGTGAGTTGGCTCCGGTGGTGGGGAGGATGCCGGTCAGACCTGGCAGGCCCAAACGTGTTGTCAGGGCTTGCTAGGAATGTCTGGCTAAATCCTATGTGAGGCGGAGTTTTAACTCCCATCTCTGGCAGAACTTTGAACACATTAAAGGGATGTGGGAGACATTGAGTCTGAGTGGACCATGTTCCATTCCTTCATTGTCGAGGCGACTCCTTGGAACTGCGGCTGCAAGGTTGTCGACGCCTGTTGTGGCAGCAATCCTCAAACCTGTTGGTAGACACCTTCGGTGAGGGATGCTATCAGGCTGAAGAGGGAATCCTATCAGGCATTTTTGACCTGTGGGACTCTGGAAGCAGCTGATGGGTACCGGCGGACAAGGTGGCATGTGGCACGGGTGGTTGCTGAGGCAAAAACTCGGGTGTGGGAGGAGTTTGGAGAGGCCAATGAGAAAGACTTTCGCACGGCTTTGAGGTAATTCTGGTCCATCATCTGGCGTCTCAGGAGGGGAAAACAGTGCAGCACAAACACTGTTTATAGCGGGGATGGTGTGTTGCTGACCTCACTCTGGACTTTGTGGGCCGGTGAGCAGAACACTTCAAAGACCTCTTCAATCCCACCAACATGCCTTCCACTGAGGAAGCTGAGCCTGGGGACTCTGGGTTCCTCGGTGGCAGAGCCAATGAGATTCAGCCAGAGTTCCTTAAGGCTCTGGATGTTGTAGGGTTGTGTTGGCTGATGCAACTGCAAAATTGCATGGACATTGGGGTCAGTTCCCCGGGATTGGCAGACTGGGGTGGTGGACCCCCTGTTCAAAAAGGGGGTCCAGAGGGTGTGCTCCAATTACAGAGGGGTCACACTCTTAAGCCTCCCTGGCAAGGTATTCGGGGGCCCTGGAGAGGATGGTCCGTCAGATAGTCGAACCTCAGATTCAGGAAGAGTAGTGTGGTTTTCGTCCTGGTCGTGGAACACTGGATCGGCTCTATACCCTCAGCAGGGTCCTGGAGGGTGGATGGGAGTTCGCCCAACCAGTATACATGTGCTTTGTTGACTTGGAGAAGGCGTTCGACCGTGTCCCTCGGGGAGCCTTGTGGGGGGTTTTCCGGGAGCATGGGGTTACCGGGCCCTTTGATATGGGCTGTCAGGTCCCTGTATGACCAGTGTCAGAGTCTGGTCCGCACTGCTGGCAATAAGTCGGGCTCATTTCCGGTAAGAGTTGGACTCCGTTGCCAGGGCTGCCCTTTGTCACCGATTCTGTTCATTACTTTCATGAGCAGAATTTCTAGGCGCACCCAAGGTGTTGAGGGGATCTGTTTTGGTGACCTTAGGATTGCATCTCTGCTTTTTACAAATAATGTGGTCCTATTGGCTTCATCAGGACGTGATCTGCAGCTCTTGCTGGAATGGTTCACAACTGAGTGTGAAGCGGCCGGGATGGGGATCAGTGCCTCCAAATCCGCGGCTATGGTCTTGAGCCGGAAAAGGGTAGAGTGCCTTCTCCAGGTCGGGGAGGATGTCCTGCCTCAAGTGGAGGAGTTCAAGTATCTTGGGATCTTGTTCACGAATGAGGGAAGAAGGGAGCGGGAGGTCAACAGGCGGATTGGAGCAGTGTCTGCCGTGAACCGGGTGCTGCACCGGTCTGTCACGTTTAAGAGAGAACTGAGTCAAAAAGCGAAGCTCTCAATTTACCGGTCGATCTATGTTCCTATCCTCATCTATGGTCGTGACTGAAAGAACGAGATCACAGATACATGCGGCCGAAAGGGGTTTTCTCCGTAGGGTGTCTGGGCTCTTCTTTAGAGATAGGGTGAGAAGCTCTGTCATCCGGGAGGGACTCAGAGTAGAGCCGCTGTTCCTCCACATTGAGAGGAACCATTTGAGGTGTCCTGGGCATGTCCCACCAGGAGGAGGCCCGGGGAAGACCCAGGACACGCTGGAGTGACTACGTCTCTCGGCTGGCCTGGGAACGCCTTGGGGTTCCTCCGGAGGAGCTGGAAGAAGTGGCTGGGGAGAGGGAAGTATGGGCCGCCCTTCTTAAGCTGCTAACTCCGTGACCCGACCCGGGATAAGTGGAATACGATGGATGGATACCTAAATTAAAGGTTCAATCATTGAACTGACACAAGTCAGTATGTACAGTACGTCTATTCCATCAAGGGAACTGCAGTAGTTGTTAAAAATATTAACATAATAGCTATACATGAGATATTCTGTAATGCAGGACATATGGTTGGTACTGAATACATGCTGAGAAAGATTGACAAAATTTTGACTTTACTTTGTCAGCTGCCCTTGGTTTTATAAACAGAAAACACCAATAGTGTCTAGCAAGATGCTGGAAGTACTGCCAGTCAGAAGAACATGATTAGCAGATTCCATTTATTGTTTTCACTACTGCAAATAGCTTTTTACCAATTTATGTTTCTGTTGTTTTTTTTCTCTCTAGACAGAAAATGAATGCTTCATTTTTAAAAATAAACAGAATAAATTATGTGCAAACTCAAGCTTCAACTTCACCTTTTCACCTCCCCAAAATGCAATGAGTTTCACATTTTACTCTATACATCAAGTGAGACAGGCTCCTTTGCCAACTGGGATGATGGCAGAAGAGTCACCCCCAGTGTGGCCAGATGAACCTCAGTGCTACAGGCATTCAAGATGTCAAGCTACCATGGCTACATAGAAAAACTGTAAAGAAGAGGGGCAAGACCACATCTGTGATTAAATAAGGACTGATAAAATAATTGATGAGAAAAAAATATAGCCACCTTTTTTCTTTGGGCTTCAATTTATAGATATTGAGTAACTGAATTTTATTAATTTATCTGTACTAACTGGCTCCACCATTCTATGACTAGGGTTAGGGTTAGGGTTCTATCCAGATAAAATGAGTAGTAGTCACTCATTTCATTGTTTTAAGTTTCCAAACAATTTGCGAGTTCAGTTTAACTAAGTCAGTAACATTTCGTCAAGACTGCTCAGTCTATGAGATTCTCAAAAGAAAAAAGTGCAAATGATTCTGTTATGATTTGAGTTTTTCTATGTGTTTATTTTGGTTATCTGTCTTTTGAGTCTCCGTGTTGTCCTGTCTACCCCTTGATTGTTCCCAGGTTTGTCTCTTTCTGTGATTACCTTCTGTGTATTTAATACCACCTGTGTCTCTGTGTCTTTATCGTCCCAGTCTGTCTTGCTGTCCATCTCCACTGCGTCCTGCCTCACCACCTCACACCACAACTTTATGACAGATTCCCATAGAGGTACATCTTTAGTCTAATAGAAAAACTTTGTAAAAATAATTTTTAACTTCTTCACCTTGTAGTTTTGAAAAGATTTTTTGTGGAAAATCTATCACTATATTAATTATATTCCACTATGTCAGAGGAGATGAAATGTGCAGAACATTTTACATTCACAGTAAATAGGCTTCATTTTTCTGAGAGCTACAGATACTTGCTTATGAAGATGTAGCCACACTAAGAGATTTTTTTGCTTGTTTGTTTGAAATATGACACCAACGTTGTAATAAAATACAGCTGTAATTTTATGAGATTTCTACACCACATTTATGATAAAATGGGAAATACTGAGGGTCTTGCGAGGTTATAGTTGGATTGGTTTTACATATAAGGACATTCCTAATCTTTTCACACAACAGAATAAAATTGTCAGCCACAAGACTTTGAAACGATTGTTTAAACTTTTTATTTCAAAGAAACACACTTGCTCAGCTGGTCACATTGGATCTTGATAACTATCAAAGCTTTTTTCTTATTAAAATTGAATTTTTTGTCATCTTTTGACTTTGGTGACTTTGTAGTATATTATCTATTCTCGTAACATGACTTTGTTCTCGTAATATAATGACTTTATTCTTGTAGTTAAAGTATTATTAGTCTGGCCCTAAAACTCCACCATACTTGCTTTACTAACCTCTGCCATGGTTTTTCTTTACAATGTCACAAACTTCTCCATCTTTTCTCCATGGCAGTGGATGTTTCAAAACATCTGCACCAGTATTTCAGCGTCTTCTACGGGCTTGAACAGGCAGCCTGTTGACTGATTTGAACACTGCTTCCACCTTGTGACTGGAAGCTTGTTTATCAGTCAAGCATGAGAAAATAGGACAACTATAAAGTCCGGCTTCTGGCACCCATAGTCATGATGCTCACTGCTCATCCCCCTCAGCCCGCTGCCCCAGGGGGCGCACCCCACTATTTGAGAAGTACTGCTTTAGACAGACTTACCGCAACATACAGCCAAGTTACCTGACATTTTCATGCCTGTACATGTACATGGTGTTGAACTGTTGCATCTCTTTTTGACTAGGCTCCTTCTTCATATCCTGAAGCATCTCATCAGCTATATGCTTGGGAAGAATGGAGAGCAGGAGACGTTCCTGTAATGGTTAAATACACAGAGCACATGACAATAAATCACAGACATGAACTAGACTTGTGACTGAATGCATACTTTGATTTATTTCGACTTTCCATTCTTTCTTTTTATTCTCTACACACTCTATAAACTGTAAAAAGCACAATAAACTTGAAAAAAAACTATGTTCCAGGATCCAGGCTCGATTACCAATTTTCAAGTTTCTTTAGAATTTGCTTTTTACATCACTGTTTATTTTAGTCCTCAGCCTAGATTTCTGCCTTTAAACATAGTTTTTGTTCTGTGTGTGTAGTTTCATCTTAGTATTTAGTTTGTATTTTTACTGCAGTTATATTTCCTGGTTAATATTTTCTCCTCCTGTGTCAGTAACCCCTCCCTCACTCTACCTGTCTGGTCTCCACCCTCAGCTGCAGCCTGTTCCCAGTAAGCCACCACAATTCCGTCCAGTAATCATGCTCCCAGTTTATAAGCTCTTCACTTTCTGTTTTCCAACTTCTGAAGAAATGTCTTTTTATGGACCTGACTTTTTCAAATTCATGGATGGAATGAATCAACAAGTTATCAAAGCTACTTCTTTTCTTAGTGCTCACAAAGCAGACTTTACTTCTTCAAAACCACCTGGCTCTGATCACCCAGAGCTCTCACCACTCTGCGTATCAAAGGTCTGAGATTTCAGACAGTAGCTTTACACCTGTTGTTTTCCAGAATAGGCCATTTTAACTCTTGAATATTTGAGAATTGAGGCAAAAACCCATTCCCCAACTCTGATGCTAACTTTGTACAACAGCTCAACAAATGTGTAAAATGTCTTCATTGACTTTAATGAGCTTTTTTTAATCTTATATATGCATTGATAGTGACCATTTAACAATTGTGGGAGATTTCAACGTCCATGTTGACAAGACTAACCCTTAGCAAAAAAGCTGTGTGATATACTTGAAAATGTTGGTCTAATTGAGCTTGTTAAATAAACACAATTGAGGTCTCTGAAGTAGATTTTTCTTTAAAGAGAAAATCTATCATTTGCATCATACAGTAACATAGTCAATATGTTTTCTCGTGCAGCTGCAGAGGGTGTACTAACTAATTGAACAAGATGTGTCTGTTGAAGTTTCCCAGACGGGTTATCTGGGAACTTGCTGTTTTTCCGAGGTCTTCCCTGCATGGAGATGGAGTGTTTAGTTTTCGAATCCCGTAGACATGATAGTGAATGAGTGTGTAAGGTTGAACTGTTCCGTCTGTTTTCCTTTGTTTCTAAACCTAGGACCATTCTTTTTCAATACCTTATGCTCCCGCTGGCTCGGGTTGTAACAGGAAATAGGATTCATTACCATAAATACACAGATGACACACAGCTCTACATTCCAATGTCACAAAGAGACTCTGAACTCAGCCAGATACTTAGAATAGATAAATGTGTGGATGTTCTATAACATTCTCCTGCTGAATAGAAACAAAACTGGTTATTATTAGAGGTTATTATCTTTGGACCTAAAGAGAAAAGATGTAGAGTCAACACACAATTTCAGAAACCAGAGATCAGGCCTGAAACCTGGGAGTCATGATGGACTCGGACTTGAACCTTCAGAGCCACATAAAGACAGTTACAAAGTCGGCCTTCTATCACCTGAAGAACATCTCCAGGATTAGAGGACTAATGTCTCAGCCAGATCTAGAGAAACTCATCCATGCGTTTATCTTTAGTCGCATTGATTATTGTAACAGCGTCTTCACAGGCCTGTCCAACAAATCAATCCTCCAGCTGATCCAGAAGCTGCTGCTCCTGTTCTCACTAAAACCAGGAAGATAGAGACATAACAGCAGTTTTAAAGTCCCTCCACTGGCTCCCTGTAGCTCAAAGAATAGATTTTAAAATACTGTTGTTAGTTTATAAATCACTGAACGGTTTAGCACCACAATACATCAAAGATCTGCTGTTGTTGTATCAACCTTCCAGACTCTCAGGTTCTGGTTTCTGATCTGCATGTAATGTTTCAGTTGTTGACTGTGTGTTTCTATGACTTTGTATTTTTATGACATAAAGCACTTTAAATGCTTTATTGCTGAAATGTGCTATACAAATACAACTGAATCTCTTTTTGATTTGAATGTCCCACTTATTACAGCAAAGTATTTACGATAGACCCCTGGCAGAGTGACGTCATGTGGACAAGATCCCGCCCCAACGCCCTCTTACAGGGCAAAAAGCTCCTTGCTAAAGATGACTAGCATTGTTTTAGCTGTTAAGTTTTCAGTATAACTCACTAAATCGTAAGTGTAAGCAGTGCTTTGCTACTAATTGTCAACACTATGATAACAAGATAACTAGGTTAGAGAAAAGTTTTAATTAAGAAAAAATAGCAAGGAGAGGAAAGTAATGGGAAACCAAAACATGTAGATCTGTTGTGGAATTGTGTGTGTTTCGTTTCAGTTACAAAACAAAAAAAGGCGACCCACACACAAACTCTGACAGATTTTGTCAGTTTTGTCAAACATCTGCTCTACGGATCTACTCATCAGTAGAGCAGATGTTTAAATGAGCTTTTTTGCCCCTTTATTTAACCAGCGAAAGCCCGTTGAGATCCGGATCTTATTTTCAAGAGGGCCATCGGCAGAGTTAATCATTTAGTTAGATTAGTTAATAGTAGCTAACTAGATAATAGATAATATACCTGAAATATTACTTATTAATGATCGCAAAATAAACATCAAGCCTAAAAACATAATACTGAATGTTCAGCTCCTTGTGTAGGAAATGTCTGTTTTTTGGTGTTGAATCCTGGTACATTGTCAGTCAGTTGCTATGGTAACAAGTATGTGTGTAGTGTAGCCAACAGAGAACAGCAAGAATACGAGTGGTTTTGAATTATTCTCCAAAAGTTTTTCTGAGTTATTTTTCCCATTGCAGAGTAGTCATCTTGCAATCAGAAGGTTGTAGGTTCGATACCAGCTTCTTCCTGCAACATGTCGATGTGCCTCTGGGCCAGGCACTTAACCCCAAATTGCCTACTGGTCTGTGTATGGGTGTATAAATGTGTGTGCGTTTGTGAGTGCAAATGGTGAATGTCACTCATTCACCCATGGGTCACACGGGTGAATGTGACCCATTTGTCTCATGGGTCACATTCCATGGGTCCATGGGTCATTCAAAGTGCTTTGAGTGTAAAGCACTTTCAGTGGTCAAAATGACTGGAACTGTGCTATATAAGTTGAGTCCATTGCCATGGTGCTGCACTGAATTAATACCTACATGTTCAGCTTCATTTTGGTAATGGAATTATTGAACCGCAGCAGCGTGGCTATGGATGGCATGTAAAACAGTCTTTTTTTCCTCCAGTGTTGTGCCCATATGCAAATTTCCAGATGTAAACTAGAGCATGCGAGGAGTCTATAGTCTTCTGACCTGTTGCTGGCTTTGCTCTTCTAGGTTAAGCTTAACCTCCAGTGACTGTCTTGCTTCCAGAAAAGCCTTTCGATGCTTCCGGTCAGCCATGTAGTACGATGTGACACCCACGGTGATGGCACAAATATAGATCACAATGTTGGCCAGTAGCTTGAAAAGAAACATGAAGAGAGATTTGAAATTAGAACTCAGGATGAGATGAAGATACATGCATTTATGAAGTATTTGACAACAAGAAACCCTATACATAGTTCCCACATGCCTGAATAGAAGTGATCCACACTGTCTTAGCGTACTAAGAACGTTTGTTTGTACAATGCCTAGCAGCCCCATGGCTTCAAGACCAACTAAAAAGGAAATATCTGGACACTCAACCAATGTGCATCAACAAAATTGTTGCAGTAAGGATGGACCCATATCAGACAGAGAAGGAATGTATGTCAGACAATGTGGTGAAGTTAACTGGCTGCTTTTGCTAGTAACGCTATAATCTCTGTTAAATCTGTTTACAACATTTTCAATCCTGGGCAGATTACATAAAATAAATAAATACATTTTCAAAAACTGATAAGGACCCACATGCAATCACTGAGACCAAGAATATCAAGGATTTTATTTATTCATAAATTTCCATAGTGGAGTATTTCAAATTAAAAAACAAGAAATGAATGGGTGCTTATTTTTGGGATTTTTTTCTAAATAATTGGAGATAGTTCTATACATACATACTAGCCTACAAATAAATAAGGAAAGATTGTGCCCACATTTTTGAAGCTATCAGCAAGTTTTTGCCAAAGATTTCTTGGCACAAACCAGAGCTGACCGGGAGCGACAACAACAACAACAACAACAACAACAACAACAATGGTGACTCCTGAAGCAGCAGCAAAAACTGTGAAGGTCAGCAGTTCATAGACTGGAAGTAGCCAAGACAAGTGTTGTTTCTTCTTTAAACAGTGTTTAATTACAATACTTTCAATGGTCAAACTGTAATGGTCTAAAGTTCAGAAATAAGCTTAATATTTAGCTATGTTTAATTATGGTGTGGACAACTGAGTGGAAAATTCACAGATCACATTTTACTCTTGAAAATGTCTAAGTGAAATGTCAGAAAACAAATACTGTTTCTGTCTAATCTTAGTGACCAAATGGTGATTTAAATGAAAACAAACCATTTGATATCTAAGAAATACCTTGGGCTGCCTGTGGATCAATTCCCAACTTTACCAACTTGTTTTCAGGTTTTCTATCTGGTTTTTTCCATTCCTAGAACACACATTTATAAGTTTTTGTTCCAGTTTATTTCAAATTATTAATTTCTCTATTATGCGATCACATTTTCAGCAAGAAGATGAATATATGTGGGTTTGTGCTTGTTAACCAAGTTTTGTTTGTCTTGGTTCACAGTGTAAGTTGCAGTAGTAACTGTATTCATCTGGATTTCTGAAACTGAAAACCCAGGGTATGAACATCCCTACTCTTGAACTTACTCTGAGTTGAAGACAGTGTTTGTTCGGTCCTCACCTCTGGTTATGACTAATTGGTTTATTTGATCAGTCCTTTACAAAAAACACAGACACAAAATAAAGCATATCACAGCTCTGGGAACTCCACCAGGTCAGAGTTAAATAACTCTGGTCCCCAAGAAGTTGTGGCAAGCGTTTCTTATTTTTATTTCGGAAAGATGACAACCCTACGCACTTATTTTCCACTGTTACTCTTATCATGTGTACCTGTGTCTGATTATTGCCTGCTGTCTCTCCCCCATTTCTCCACCTAAATATGTTCCTTCCAGCCAGACATTTTCTGCTAGACTGTACAACGCCTAAGAGCCTGTCCAGGGTTTCTTCTTGCCTTACCTTGACCTATGTTTATCACTGTGGTCCGTTTCTGACCTCAACTAAGGACTATATCTTGGATAGCTGCCACTTCTGAATCTGGTTACTCAAACTGGACAGAGCTTCTGGAGACAGGCACCAGTATCCCCACAACCCTGCATGAAAAAGCTGGTGTAGGCCATGTTTGTCTGTCACAAAAACCCACATAACTAAATCTCATCATCACAAATTATAAGCTCCACATTTTAAGTACAACATTAAACTCAAGTCACTCACAGAAATTACAGAACACTGTCATTATTTCTGCATAAAAGTTCATACCTGTCGATTACTGAAAAACATTCATTAACCCAGGTTAGTTTACGATAGTATTTCACAATTCCCGTCCTCAGGGACAATTGCCTTGCATGTTTTAGCTGTTTCCTCTGCATGCATTTGATTGCATGCAGAGGAGGTCATGCAATCATTTAAGTCAATTGTTCTGCAACAGAGACACATCTCTGTGCCATAAGAGCCACAATTGAGAAACACTAGTGTGAGACAATCTCACTGACCCATCTTCCCCTCTCAGGTATTACCTGTCTGGCGAGCGCTGAGCCCTGGATGTTCTCCTGCTGCTGTTGAGCAATGGTGACTCCAAGAACCAGGGTGTGAACCCCACAGGATACAGTAGTGATGAGCACAATGGGTGTTAATCTCAAAGGCAGAGTAAGGAAAAAAGAAAAGCTGAAGAAGGCCTGCCAACCCACTGTGTCACTAGCGTGGTGGAAACGAGCATAGTTTAGACCCAAGTGGCAAAATATCTGTAATGCGATAAGGATCCAGAGGGAATAGGGCACAAAACGCCTTGAGATCCGGTCTGGTAACAACCCAAAGCGGCACAGCAGGTAGAGAAGAATATCTCCCGCCAATCCCACAGTTGCCACAGAAACGGATGCAAGTTTTTCAGAGGTATAAACCACTGCACACATGATGAGGATGTAACTATCAAAAAGAGCAGCAAACACAACCAGCACCAAAAGTGTTTCATGTCTCTGCCTTCTGAAGTAGGTCTGGTAGAGATTCTCCAACGACTCCGGTGCAAATGTCAAGCGCATAAACCGTGGCAGGCAAAGGCAGGATCCAGAATTTCGAACTGTAACCTCGTGTGTTCGCCCAACAGCCTGCCCCGGATCAGAGGGCAATGTCACCGAGCAGTCTGCCGAATACTCCATAGAGTACTCTGGTTCAGAAAAAGCTTGATTGCGAGGCATGGTGAAAACTCTGAGCCAAAATTTTTCGTCTCTTTTACTCAAAGAATATAAGGCATGTTGTCCTGCAGCAGTGGATTAATATAAAAATAATGTTCAAATGTTCAAAACTTTTCACTTTGCAGAGTAAACTTGATTCTTCTGAGAACACACAATCGAGTGTTCTCACAATTTTCAACAGCACTGGTGTCCCCTTAGTCCAATGCAGTCAATCAATGTTCCATCACCAGCACAGGGTAGTTCTATTGTTTATCAGAAAGATGAATCAATACTGATTAGATGCTTCAATGTTCATCAACAAAAGGTGACCTTCTGCTATATCCCATATTTGTCTATTTTTGAAGAATTTGTTTCTCCATCATTTCTCTGAATTGAATAGTGTTTCCTTCTTCATCTTCCCATGCCTGAATACAGATAGACAGAAAGTTTAGCAAACAGATCTTTATACCATCCAACAATAGCTGTAGCATAGATTATGTCTATAGATAGATAGATAGATAGATAGATAGATAGATAGATAGATAGATAGATAGATAGATAGATAGATAGATAGATAGATAGATAGATAGATAGATAGATAGATAGATAGATAGATAGATCTCTCTTGCAAGTGATTTTGTATGGCTATATAGACAACATGCTTGCTCCCTCACACAGATATGTTGTGGAAGACGTCAAAAATCTAACATCCTAGTCTTACATACTTAGAGGCTATACTTTACTTTTTTCACTGCTTATCGACAGGCAACCCCATCTTCGGTTGCAATAGCCTCTCAATAAAAACATGTACATGTTACAGACACTCCTCTGACTAGGATTTCTCCTTCATCCCCTTGTTTCCATTAACCAACAATGCAGGACACATTTCATTTCTATAAGCTGTTCTGGATATTTGGGAAATGATGTACATCATATGTCCTCCTACTTCCACTTACCTTCTGAAATGCCAGATTACGTCTCATTGTTTGTGCTAAACATAATTAGCATTAGAATAACGAGGCTTCTCGCAGTCCTCTTGAAATGCTGCAGCTTACAGTAACACAGCCACACGGAGAGAATATTTTTCATCAAAATAAATAACTCAGTGAGACAAAATAAACGTAAGAGAGTCACCCTGACTTCGCACCGCATCTGTGTTCTCAGCAGAAAACTGAAAACCAGAAGCATTCAAAGATGTACACGGTGATGTCGCCTTGACTACTGCTGTTAATACGAACGATGCGGCAATACCGTCGCCATCTTGGTACGGGTTAGAGAGCTCCTCCCTCCCCGTTCTAGTCTCTCGGAAATTAAGTGAAAACATATTTAATGCATGTAAATATGTTCTGATGAGGCTAATTTGTCAGATTAAAATGCTTTCACTGTGAGTGAAAAATAATCAAAAGGAATAAAGTCGTTCAAAGGCCAGTGAATAGGTCATTTATAATGTGATTGACTTAGTGAATTTATTTATTGAACGAACTTTTTAAATTCTAAATTACTTAATGCATCGGCATATATGCATCCATATTCAATCAACTTATCTTACTGACTAATGTATTCATGCAGGTCATTCATTTCACTGTTTATATTCAATAGAGACACAGTGATGATGTCAAGCCTTTATTTTTAAAAAGGATTATTTTCTACATAAACTTTTCTGCTAAAGATGTGACATTTAAAATTACATTACACCAAAACAATAAACTTCTGCACTATGGTGCATTAGAAAAGTATTCACAACACATATGGCTTAGTTACAGATATGAATTTCAAACTGTAATAAATGCCTCCATTTATTTCCATATCTTCTAAGCATAGAAGACTCTTTGGTATCTGAGCCTTGACATCTTTCATCTTGACAACTAGTTCCAGGGCATCAAGAACATGACAGACTACAACATCACAATGCCCAAGCGTTGTGCATCACTGTCAGATGCACTCAATGAGCTCTACGCCTTCTTTAAGGATCCTAACACCACCCTCAGCTCCAGACTTCTACCACCACCTTTTGCTGTCTGTGTGACCACAGCAGATGTGAGGAAGTTCCTCCAGGGAGTCAACCCCCATAAGGCTTCAACACCATACTTGGTGCAAAAGCTCTAGATTCGGTTTCACAAAAGAGGTAGCACATATCTTACCACGGTAATTTATTCTATGAAGCCAGCCTCCTCCAGACCACGCCAACAACCAGGCTTAGTTAAACCTGGAGCCTTATCTGTTCAGTCTGTGCTCACACTGATTAGAAACTTATGTTTTGTCTGTGATCTTGTTTTGTTATCAGTTTTAGTCTTTTTTGTCACCAAAAAAGTCCTAGTATTCAGTCAAGTACTTTTTTACTATTGTGATGGTAGACACTGCCATTGTCCATTTCAGAATGACCCACATTGGCTCTGTAATTGTTCAATTGCATTTTGGAGGACCGCCGTTTGACAGAAAGGCTTTTAATAGACTATTGCAGAGTTGAGGGTATTTGAAAAATTGGTCATAAACAAAGATATTGTAATCAAACCACTGAAGTATAATTAAAGTATACTTTACATACTTTAGTTATATAAGAAAACTAAAATTAATTTATAAAAGTTATTTTAAGTTAAAATTCACAATTAAACAAATGCAGTTTAATTCACACAATACTGAAAACAAGTGCTTACATGATAAACTTTCCTTTTGTCTTTATCAAGTGGGCTGCTAATAAGATTCATTTTAGGAGGATATCTTCTTTATATCCAGTCCTCTTTTGATATTGCTGTTTTATCCATTGCCTTTGCGCTGACAGTTAATACATTTTGCTTCAAACCAAATGCATCAGAATTCAAACGGGAAGTTAGGATACAAACGGCTGTTGCTGTTCTTCAGCTTTTGCTGTGTTTTGGTTCAATAGAAACTGAACAGAAAATGTTTAGTGAAGAAATCTTAGATTTCGTTACAATTGCAGAAGCTTTTTCAACACAACACTGTTCTCATGTGAATAAACTGACATTTAGGTCATATTCTTACCGGAAAAACATGTTTGTACCAAAGACATGCCCAATTTACAGAGAGGTTTGGTGCCACAGATCTCCCACTCTCAATTAAACTCTAAACATTGTGATTCAGCCATCTTAACTGGGCTCAACAGCCTGATAAAGAAGGCTGGGTCTGTTCTTTCGATTCAGTGCAATACAGAGCGCTGCATCTTTCCTTATAAAACAGCCATGACCATCTTCAATAACTTGTTGTAGAATCTAAATCAGGGGTGCTCAAGTCCAGTCCTGGAGAGCTGCTGTCCTCTAATTGATATTTCCCATCTAATTGATATTTCTCCTTTCAAAATCAAATCTCTACAATAATGGAAAACATTCAAAGTGGTTATTGTGTGTGTGTTTCTACACATGTGGGAAAAAAATCCCTTTACATTTTGTACAAATTATACAACTTCATGAACACATTCATAAAGCCTCTTTCTCAAAAAGTAAAGTGAATCTGAACCATATTCACAGAACAAAAAATGTACTCAGTATACAGTTGTTTGGGTTTGATCCTTTTGAAAACTGTTAAAGCAGTAGCTGCTGATGCTGACAATTTGTCAGAGGTCTTTTAATCACAGATAATATGCATCATTTAGAGCAACACTGGAAAAAGGTTCTGCAAAATTAAGAGCACTCCCACGATGATGAGGCCACAGAAGAAAAGCCAGGGAGGGATAGGCCCTAAGATAAAAGGAAAAAAATTACAGTAAAAAATGAGAAGCTCTGCTATATGCATTTTAAATAAAACAATGTAAATGCCAGACTCACTTTCTTTGGAGACAGTGTGTACTTGACATCGACTATCCACAGCTACACTCAGCAATGCTGCTTTGTTGTTTCCTTTGATATTTTGGCCTTTCATCAAGTTGGGCAGAAAGACTACATCTGTCACAACAATGCCATGTGACTCATGAACATAGTACAGCTTCTGCAAAAATTAACATGCAAATAAACTTTTATGCATACACTTTATATGTTAAGGTTACTATGATGTTTATGTTACCTGTAGAGAAAAAGCAACATGAACTGCTACTGATCCAGTTACTGTTCCAAGGCCAAGAAACCTCCCAGAGTCACTGTTACAGAAAAGTCAAAGATTACATTTTTCATCTGCCATCCTCAAATGCTTCATTCATCTACTTTCTGTATGTACACACAAACACATATACATACACACAGACATATATGTGTGTGTATGTATTTGTGTGAGTCATGCGGTGTGTCATCATGGAAGAATATTGTGAGCATAAGATAATTCATATTGTTATTTCCATATTGTGTTTTGTACTGTGAAGTATTTATTTTTCATTTATCTACACCATTTCAGATTATTTTTTCTTCAAAATCAACAAATTTTTGCATTTTCCCTTTCAAATGCTCAGAAGCACAGCAGTGAGCTGAGCCTCACCTTGGACTGATCAACCTGTTAACTGCGCTCGCTGCCCCTCGGTGAGAGCATGTTCCTCCTGTCTGTACGTCGCCAATAAAATAGTTTAAGAAGTTTTCAGATATAAACTGATTTTCCATCATTTATCTTATGTAAATAATGTACAGTGTGCGTTGTCTCCAACTGTGTGTGTAACGTGATTCATGTGCTGAAGGGCGATCAGAAACGGCAGAGAACAGATTCGAGGTGAGGCAAGCAGTTTTCTTGCCTCACGGCAGGGGGCGCTCATGATACCACACGCGGTGACTCCACAACTGCAGAGTAAGAGACAAAGACAGCGAACTGTCCATACGGTACATAGGGGAAGCTAAACGCAACGAGTCTTCGTGTAGCTTGGCTGTTACAGAGGGAGAGAAAAAGGTGGTTTTTCTCAACGGGTTTTCCCTTTACTGTGCAGTATAGCACTAAATTAATAATATCTATCTTTCCAAATTTCATTGAGTTGACGGAATTACTCTGCCGTACATGTGAAAGTATAGTCTTTCTGTCCTTCAATGTTGTCGGCATGCGCAAAATGTCCGTATGTGAACAATATCATACTTATGATATTGATGAAAAACTTTTTTTCCCAACTTTTAATCTTCATCTTCTGGTTCTGGTTCAATTACCTCACAGCCAGACAGGAGATGACTTCAGTACCACATGGAGATGTTAACATTGGAAGTAAGATCTTGCCATCCCACTTGGTGATATAGCACGGAGGAGGTTTTTTGTCTCTTTTATGAGGGATTTGAACTGTGTAAAGCCTTATGGAATCTTTCTCATCTTCACCATTTCCAAACCTAAAAAGACACCAAAATAACTTAGATGGGCCTTTGAAGAGAAGAAACCCTTCTCCCATTTCCTTATCATCCTACCTGCAGGCCATATATCGATAAGTCTTTTCAGCAATTTGAGGCATGGTTTCAAGCCAGTTCAGACTTGTAACCAGTTGGTTGTTTCTCCACACATTGCATACAAAGTCTCGCCCCACAGTCACAAGTTGCTGCAAGAGGGAAACATAAAACATAAAATGAATGAACATTTATTTTGAACATTCATTACATTTATATTGAGAGCAATTGATAGTTCACCTTGCTTATTGTACTCATATCCAAATCTTCAATCTCCTTTTCATGTGCTTTAAAGTCAAACTTTTTCTCTAGGGATGGAAACTTAAAAAACATCCAAAGTGACAAGGTCAAAACAAAACCACACCACTCAGGGATCTACAAGGTTTATACAGAAACTTGCTTAACATATTTAATGTTTATTATTATTTACATTATTGATACCATTGTCAGTAAATGCATAACTATTAAACATTTTTGTTGTGTCAGCAAAAGAAACTTGAAGAATACTTTTTAGTTTTATTCTTTATCTGAATAGTTTGAATTTGTTGCTATTGGTAGATTGGACAATAAATGAATAAAGATAAGCTGTTGTCTGATTTTCAAATGTTTCATATGATTCCATGAACTAAAAGGCAAGTTTTGAAAATGTTTTGGGCTAAATTAAGAAAAAAACTGGAAGATGGGGGGAAAAACCCCAAAACATGCTGAATATTAGTGTAGTAGTAGGAAGGACCAGTGAAATATCATTCTTTGAAAAACTAAAATATTTTTTTATTTGTTTCTGATAACCTTAAGCAGATTCCAAAACATAAAAATGTCAGCTGGCTAATGTGGGAATATTTTTATATTTAAAAACTGATCAAAGTTTACCTCCCAAACTCTGATGTATCCATCGGTGCCTCCAGTCAACAGAAGGTTCATGTCAGGACTGAACCTAACAACTTTCTGAAGGGGGTCATGTGGGTTCAGGTCTGAGAGCACTTCAGCTATATTGGTCACTGTGATCTGAACCGTCTCATTCCTAGTATCCGACACGTCTCCAGCAGTAGAACGCTTCTTGAGATTACCTTTGCCAGCTTTCCCACATCTCTGTCTGGCATTGCTTAGTTCAAGGGTGTTACCTATAGCAGAAATCACAGTCTTAACATAAGACAAATAACACAATATGATGTTTTGAAGATTTTGCAATGCCTGGAATCAAGGTGAGGTAATATATACTATACAGCTGCAGCAGATTACATACCTATATGAACATATACACACATTCATTGGGCACTTTATTAGGTACACCTGTCCAACTGCTTATTGACGCAAATGTTAAATCAATCATGACAGCAACTCAATACATTTAGGCATGTAGACATGGCCAAAATGATCTGCTGCAGTTCAAACTGAGCATCAGAACGAGGAAGAAAGGTGACTTCAGTGACTTTGATCGTGGCGTGGTTGTTGGTGCGAGATGGGCTGATCTGAGTATTTCAGAAACTACTGATCTACTGGGATTTTCACACAAAACCATCTCTAGTGTTTACAGAGAATGGTTAGAAAAAGAGAAAATATCCAGTGAGTAGCAATTCTGTGGGCGCAAATGCCTTGTTGATGCCAGAAGTCAGCACATTGACCCTTGAGGCGGATGGGCTACAGCAGCAGAAGACCACACCGGGTGTCACTGTCAGCTGAACACAGGAAACTGAGGCTACAATTGACACAGGCTCACCAAAATTGGACGATAGAGGATTGGAAAAATGTTGCCTGTTCTGATGAGTCTTGATTTCTGCTGTGACCTTCAGATGGCGGGGTCAGAATTTGGCATCAACAACATGAAAGCATGGACCCATCCTGCTTTGTATCAATGGTTCAGGGTTCTGGTGGTTCAGTGGTGTGGGGATATTTTCCTGGTACACTTTGGGTCCATTAGTACCAATTGAGCATCATGTCAACACCACAGACTACCTGAGTATTGTTGCTAACCATGTCCATCTCTTTATGACCACAGTGTAACCATCTTCTGATGGGTACTTCCAGCAGGATAACACACCATGTTATAAATCATCTCAGACTGGTTTCTTGGGACACAACGAGTTCACTAAACTCGAATGGCCTCCACAGTCATCAGATCTCAATCCAATAGAGAACCTTTGGGATGTGATGGAACTTGAGATTGCATAAAGGATGTTCAGCCGACAAATTTGCAGCAACTGCCTGATGCTATCATGTCATTATGGACCAGGAATGTTTCCAGCAACTTGTTGGATCTCTGCCATGAAGGATTCTTAAGGCAAAAGGGGGTCCAACCCAGTACTAGGAAGGTGTACTTAATAAAGTGGGTGGTGAGTGTGTATTTATTTATTAGAAATTGCTTTGGGTTTATTTCAACTGCAATGGACACAGAGTTGGAAAAGAGCAGGGAAAAGAGAGAAAGAAAAGAGTAGGTAGGAGTTGTGAAGGGAAATCAGAAAAGAGAGCATACAAGGTAACCTGGAACCTTGGCCAACGGCCCCGCAACTAAACAAATGAAGCCACATTGGTGCCACTGCAACGCTAGTCCAGAGACACCAGGTCCAGTTCCTTTGGTGTTTTTATTATAAAATTATTATTTAGTTTAACAGGTTTGGATTTACTTCAGCATACATTCATTGATCATTGTCTATTCGTATATAGCTGTGCATTTTCTTTGCATCAATCAATATTCTTAGCAAAAACAGGGGTCCTGAAAATGTGCTAATTAATACAGAGACCGTAAGAGGGCATGGAAAAAAGAAAACCCAAGAAACTACTTTCTCTAACCGTCTCTAACCCTAACCCTACCTTGGGTGAAAAGGGTTTTTTAAGATACCTATTAAGGTTATAGTGTAAGACTGTGACTTCAAATTACAGCTCAGAATCGCCTCCCACAGACAGACAGCACAGGTATATTACACGTTTTCTGAATCTTTAAAGTCAGTTGAATATATTAGCTGTCAACTTTTCTGTCCTTGATGCCCCTGAATTATCTAGTTTAGTCAAAAAGTGTGGAAAAATGTTTATTATTTTTGGTTTAACAAATTCTAGTGACCTCTGTGTTGGTCAGAGACTCAAAATCTGACTTAAATGAAACCAAAGAGTCCCCTTTAAGATGATACTAAACACTATATTATAGAATTTTAACAAATGCCCATAACATGAGCTTAAACTAGGCATACACTAGTCTCAAAAAACAGAATTTGTCCAAAGGGGTTGTTAACTTCATGAGTTGATATGACTCAGCTACCATTTTGGGGAGGCTATCATTCCAAAATATTAACTAGAAAGTAGAGGTGTGCCGATCGATCAGCCATCGATTATAATCGGCTGATTTCCTTGGAAAAGTGTATGGTTGGTGATCGCTGATCACTGTCTCTTGTTGTTGATCACCAAAACCGATCACATTTACCTCACTTCGCAGTCTGCATGTGCAGCTTATTTCCTCTTTCCTTTAGATGGCGCAACCCTGCGGCAACAAATCCTGTTGTGTGGAACTATAATGCTCTGAGTGAATAGGCAGGTTCAATGCATCAACACAATGAATCTACCATAACATGGCATTTAAAAAACAAACACTTGATGGAGTTTTCCTATATCGAGGCTCAGCTCACTGCTGGAAAAAAGGACATCCAGAGCGGCCAGAGAGCAGGTAAAGCAACACACAGCTACCAACACTCACCCGGATTAGTACGATGGTAAGAAAGCTAAACAAATAACCCAAAAAACAACTCAAGTTTAAGGACTGGTGGTGTAAAACGCTGTTTCTGCTCTTGCTCTTGGACCACCGCTACGCACTACTGGTAGTAATAGTTTACAGACGGAGTGCTGCTCAACCTCCACCAGCCTGTAAACTCTCACACAGAACATCTGTTTAAAGCTGCCGCATGTAACTTAAAAGATTTTCGATATGTCTAAAATATATCTATGTTTAAATTAGGTGAATTTATTGCCAGATATGTTATACATTTTGCCACATAACATAGTGTCATTTATACCTAAATCTAAAAATTAACAGCCATCCCAGGCGATTGGCAAAGATTGGTGATTGGCAGATATCGCTTCATGGGTTATCGTATCGGCAGCAAAAACCCTGATTGGAGCAACCCTACAAGAGATATGCATCTTTTCAAAAAATATGGATAGACTTTGCCATCCAGAGATGGACCAAAAAATTGTCTTGCATGTGGAAAAAGAAGGGGTGGCAGTTTGATCATCTACGTAACCCTAGCCATGTCACAGTCAAGGCACAGTTGTTAGCTGTCAGCCTACGTCCCTACCATCTTCCTCGAGAGTTCAGTCACGTGATCTCCATTTGTGTTTACATTCTTCTGAGGGCGGAGCCAGCTGCTATCTGTCAAAGGATACAACGTGTCACAACACCCTGAGGCCCTAATAATAATATCTAGAGATTTTAATCATGTTACCCTGGATTTCACTCTGGCTATTTTTCACCTGGTTGTCAACTGTCCCACCAGGAAAAACAAGATCATTGATTTACTATACACCAATGTAAAGGATGCATGTAAGGCTGTTGCCTTTGCTCCACTGAGTCTTTTAAAATAAATAGATCCATTTATGAGAGGAATACAGGCATGTAGATATGGCACGGTTTGTTTAACTTCAATAATAATGTTTCTAAAGTCTTAGCTTTTAGTGAACCAAATTTGAGTTAAGGTTAAAATTATTTAAAATGTCACACTAAAGACTCTGGCTAACTTTGAATCAGATTACAAACCATCATATATGGTGGCTTATAATTTTTGAGCCCTGACAGCAGATGTGTGGTGTTTTAAAAACTGATCAAGGAAAAACAACACACACAAAAGAAAAAAACAAAAGCAATCCTTTAGTTCAAAGTATGTTTTAACTGTCTTTTTAAAAGAGCAAGTAATCTTCAGAAAGTTGTAAACCATACCATCTCTATGCGTAGCATTTTCTTCTTTCTGCAGGCAGAGTTTAAACTTCATGATGCTGCACTTGCCATCCTGTCCAGCAGCAATCACACCATCCCCAATAGCCATGTTTATAGTGGCACGTGTGTCCGTATCATGAGAGTGAAGAAGACTGGAGCTGTACTGATTTTTTCCAACCATCTGCACATCCAGGAAATGCTGAAAGACAAGTTTTCTACTGATGAAATCAGATTTGCATTCTGTCATTAGGGGTCTGTGCAAAGTTATATTAAAATGAATGAGAATTTACTAGAAATAAACCTAGAGATACGTACAATTAAAATGTACAAATAAAACAGACTGAACTTATAGTGCAGTTCAGACATTTTTTTTAAGTGTCTTGAGATGATCTGTTGTGAAGTGGTACTAAATAAATTCACTGATTTAAGCTGATCTTGCTAGGCATTCAAAGAACTTTCCACACAATCATCCTATTCACACACAAATTAATGTTAATATAATACTACTTAGTACAAAACCTTTTTTGGTGGCGTACATGCAGTATCAAGGAATGGTGCAGATGCTTGAGACATGATATAGAATAACTAGCAGAGTGTAGTAAAACTGTAAAAATAGTATGGACTACTTTTTGACAGTCCTTTCCACAAATTACCTCCCTTTATTGGTAAATACTGTTAACATGATCCTCTCCTTGGGCTGCCACCTTCTTGTGGTGGAGGGGTTTGAGTGCCCCAATGATCCCAGAAGCAATACTGTCTGGGGCTTCAATGGAGCCAGGCCTGGAGGTGGGGCATGATGGAAAGCACCTGGTGGCCGGCCTTTTACTCATGGAGCCCGACTGGGCTTAGCCCAAAGAGGAGAGATGGGTTCCCATGAGCCCACCACCAAAGGGGTCGGGTGAAGAGTGGGATGGTTGGTGGCCGAGGGAGAGGGCCCTGGTGGTCCGATCCTCGGTTGCAGAAGCTGGCTCTTGGGACATGGAATGTCACCCCTCTGGTGGGAACGGAGCTAGTGTGTGAGGTTGAGAGGTTCCAGCTAGAAATAGTTGGTCTCAACTTGACGCATGGCTCTGGTTCTGAAACCACTCCCCTTGAGAGGGGCTGGACATACTTTCACTCTGAAGTTGCCCATCATATTTTAATTGTAGGTGATTTTAATATACATGTATGCTTTCCAGATAAACCTCTGGTGAAGGACTTTTTGGACTTGATTGATTCATTCCATTTGACACAATCTGTGGTTGGGCCAACACACTTAAAGGGACATACTTTGGATTTGGTCTTATCACATGGACTTTGTTTGGACATTACTGAAATTTTTCAGACCTTCATTTCTGATCATTTGCCCATTTTATTTTCTGTTAATATTTCATCTTCTGTGGATACAAACAATACTAAAGTCCTACTTTCTAATACTATAAATTCTGAAACTGCTCTTCAGCTAAATGCAGTCATTGTTAATACTGCGTTCCCTACTGATAGCGATCTGGATGTTGAAGCTCTTATTTTAAATTTTACCAACACATGCTTAAATGCTCTAAATACGGTAGCTCCCTTGAAAACTATAAAAACTACAAATAAGAAACGTTTGGAGCCGTGGCTCAATGAAAGCACTCGTGCACTCAGACGGGAATGTAGGCGTGCTGAGAGGAGATGGAAAAAAGATAAATTGCAGGTTTCGTTTGAAATTTTAAAAGACTGTTTATTTAATTATCAGAATAATGTTAAATTAGCAAAATCTAAATATTTCATTAATCTTGTAGCTTTGAATAAGCATAGGCCTCAAGTCCTTTTTAGTGTTCTGGATAGGATTGTTAATCCTTTGACTACATCTGGCCCTTTAGCCTCTGTTGAACTTTGTGAGGCTTTCTCTAAGTTCTTCACTGAAAAAATTGTAGCTCTTAGAGGCTCAAATACCCGAGTAGCTTTAGATTCCCATGAAATGCCGCAATGCACAGCTATTCTGGAGCATTTTCAACCAGTTTCTTTAGAAGAACTGACTTCAGTTATTAAACATCTGCAGCCATCAAATTATCCTTTGGATTGTCTTCCTACTCGTTTGATAAAAGACGTTTTTCTTACTTCTAGCCTATATATCCTAATGGTGATAAATGCCTCATTGCAGTCAGGTTGTGTCCCATCAATACTTAAACATGCTGTGGTTAAACCCCTTCTTAAAAACCCCAATCTGGACTCAAGTGTGCTAGCAAATTTTAGGCCCATTTCTAAACTCCCTTTTTTATCTAAGGTCCTTGAAAAATTGGTTTATATTCAGCTTGAATTCTATCTAAAAATCAATAATATAACTGAGAAATTCCAGTCTGGGTTTAAAGTTGCTCATAGCACTGAAACAGCTTTGCTTCGAGTTTATAATGACCTTCTTTTAACAGTTGATTCAGGCAATGTTGCGGTTTTATTACTTTTAGATCTGAGCGCTGCATTTGACACTGTTGATCATCAGATTCTTTTAAACAGATTAAAACATTGTGTTGGCCTGAGAGGCCCAGTATTTGAATGGTTCAAATCTTATTTAGAAAACAGAACTTTCACAGTTAATCTTGACCACTGCTATTCTGGGGCCAAACCTTTAAAGTATGGCATCCCCCAAGGCTCAATTTTAGGTCCCATTTTGTACATTTTATATTTATTGCCTCTAGGTCAGATATTTCATAAATTTAACGTTTCCTTTCATTGCTTTGCAGATGACGTCCAGATTTATATGCCCTTTAAACTAAAAAATGGAAATAATGAATCTCTTCAGCTATTGACAGATTGTTTGACTGAAGTTAAATCTTGGATGGGACAAAACTTTCTTCACCTAAATCAAAGAAAAACTCAAGTTATATTATTTGGCCAAAGTCTTTACCCTACAAAACCAGATCAGATTCTGGGTTCTTTATCTCAATTTTGTGAGACCTCAGTTAGGAATCTTGGCTTTACTTTTGATAGCTGTTTAAAGCTCGATAAACAAGTTAGTTTCTGTCGTTAAATCGAGTTTTTATCACCTATGGATTTTAGCAAAAATCAAATCTTATTTTTGTTTTAAGGACTTTGAAGGACTGATCCATGCCTTCATTACCACTCGTCTGGATTATTGTAATTCTTTATATAGTGGCATGGTTAAATCACAGATTCATCAACTTCAAATGATCCAGAATGCAGCAGCACGGCTTCTTACAGGAACCAGGAAGCATGACCATATAAGGCCTACGCTGGTCAATTACACTGGCTGCCTGTTATGTATAGAATAGATTTTAAGATTCTTTTATTAACTTATAAAGTTTTAAATGGGTTAGCTCCCCCTTATCTCCAGGACCTTTTAAAATTTCAGTCTGTGTCCAGAACGCTCAGATCAAACAATCAGCTTTTACTTCCAGTCCCTCAGACCGACTAAGGAAAGGAGATCGGGCTTTTTGTTGTTGCTCCTAATTTATGGAACAATTTGCCTTTTCAGATTAGATATGCTTGCAGCCTGGATCATTTTAAATCGCTTCTCAAAACTCATTTTTATTCGTTGGCTTTTAACTGAAGCAATTTTTTGATATTCTGTTTTATCTATTTGTGTTACTGTCGTTCCTGTGCAGCACTTTGGTGCAGTTTTATACCTGTTTTAAAGTGCTATATACATAAATTTGACATTGACAAGGTGATAGGCGCAGGGCAGGAGTGGGCATACTTGTTGTCCCCCATCTCGGTGCCTGTACGTTGGGGTTTACCCTGGTGAACGACAGATTATCCTCCCTCAGCGTATTGGTGGCGGGACGGGTTCTGACTGTTTGTGCTTACAGGCCGGACAAAAGTTCAGATTACCCACCCTTCTTGGAGTACTTGGAGGGAGTACTGGACTGTGCCCCTCCTGTTCTCTCGCTGGGATGCGGACTCTCTTGTTCTGTTGGGGGACTTCAACGCCCATGTGGGCAATGACAGTGAAATCTGCGACCAAATGTCTTGGACACTCAGGTGAGGAGAGGTGCGGAGCTGTCCACTGACAATTACCTGGTGGCGAGTTGGCTCTGGTGATGGGGGAGGATGCTGGTCAGACCTCGCAGGCCCAAACATTTTGTGAGGGTCTGCTGGGAATGTCTGTCAGGGTCTCCTGTGAGTTGGGGCTTTAACTCCCTTCTCCAGCAGAACTTTGAACACATTCCTGGGGAGGTGAGGAACATTGAGTCTGAGTTCGACCATGTTCTGTGCCTCCATTGTCAAAGCGGCTTATCGGAGCTGTGACCGCAAGGTTGTTGGTGCCTGCCAAATGAACCAGCTGCTACAAAGTGGGACTCACCCTGAATGGTTAACTGAAGGGCGGACAATCCTAATCCAGAAGGATCCATCAAAGGGTCCAGTCCCACCCAACTACCGACCAATAACCTGCCTCTCCACAACCTGGAAGCTCATGTCAGGCATCATAGCGGCCAAGATAAGCAAACACATGGATAAACACATGAGCACGGCACAGAAGGGTATCGGTGTAAATACCAGAGGAGCCAAACACCAACTCCTCGTAGACCGCACAGTTTGCCCGAGACTGCAAAACCCGACACACCAACCTGTGCATGGCTTGGATCGATTACAAGAAAGCCTATGACTCAATGCCGCATACTTGGATCATTGAATGCCTAGAGATGTATAACATCAACAGGATTCTGAGAGCCTTCATTGCAAACTCGATGAGGCTGTGGAAAACCACCCTTGAAGCCAACTGCAAACCACTTGCATAAGTGTCCATCAAATGTGGCATATATCAAGGAGATGCTCTGTCCCTGCTACTGTTCTGCATAGGCCTGAACCCCCTCAGCCAAATTATCAACAAGACTGGCTACGGATACCGACTCAAAAATGGGGCCAACATCAGTCACTTTCTATACATGGATGACATCAAGCTGTATGCCAAGAGTGAGCGAGACATCGACTCACTGATCCACACCACCAGGATCTACAGCAAGGACATTGGGATGTCATTCGGACTAGAGAAATGTGGTCGGCTGATCACAAAGAGGGGGAAGGTGATCTGCACAGAAGGAGTCTCACTCCCACAAGGAACAATAGCAGACATAGAGGACAGTTATAAGTACCTAGGTATACCACAAGCAAATGGCAACCTCGATGAGGCCACAAGGAATGGAGCCACAGCTAAATACCTCCAACGAATAAGGCAAGTCCTGAGAAGCCAGCTTAATGGCAAGAACAAAATCCGTGCGA